CAGCTTAAGATGGTCCCTGTAATGGGGTCACGATTTGTTCTGTGGATTTCGGCCATTAATGAATGCTTACAAGAAGATGGTGGAGAGTTTAGAAACTGTGGAATTAGATACAAGTAGTGGTGAAGAAGAAGAAGAAGAGAAAGAAGAAGAAGGGGAGATGGGAGAAGAAGAGGAAGGAGAAGGTGATATGGAGGAGGAAACGGAGGAAAGCAAGGAAGAAGAAGAAGAAGAAGATATTGATACTGAAAAGGAAGGAGAAGAGGAAGAAGGCGATGGTGATGGTGATGAGGAAGTCGATTCTCATATGGAAGAAAGCGATGTGGAACAACCTCTAGACGACAAAACTCTGTGGGAGCAAATGCAAAAGTTTGGCGACTTTGAAGAGGAAATGCTCGAGAAAGAGAGGGAAGGCGGCAATGAAGAAGAAGAAGACGAGGACGAGGACGGCATCGATATGATGGCTCCTCTCAGTGGTATTCTTGATTTTTCTTTTTAATCTAATCCATTAGAACAAGAAGATAATGAGGAAGAAGAAGAAGAAGAAGAAGAAGAAGAAGATGAGGAGCAAAAGTGATCGTGTTCTCTCCCCTCCATCGTAGATCCCTCAAAAAGCAAATCGCCGAGATGGAATCCACGCTCGTCCAGCCGCGCAGCTGGGAGCTCCAAGGCGAAACCACCGCCTCCTCCCGCAAAGAAAACGAACTCCTCGAAGTCGACCTGGAAGTCGACCGCGTGGGCGTTTCAGCCCCCGTTTCCACGGTTGAGAGCACGCTCTCGCTGGAAGAGCTCATCAAAGTGCTTGTCCGCTTCCCTTCTCACGTAGAAACGAATCCTCGACCAGGCCTTCGACGATCCCGTTCGCAAAGCCGCGCCTCGCGAAACCGCTGCGAAGCCGCTTGCGGAAGTGTCGACGGAGAAGAGCGAGAAAGGCCTGGCGGAGATCTACGAGGACGAGTTCATGAAGCAGATGCACAACGTGGACAAGAAGAAAGACGAGCTGGACGCCAAGAAACGCGAGCTGGACGTGCTGTTCCGTCGCATCTGCGTGGCGCTGGATCGTCTCTGCAACGCTGATTTCACGCCCGCAGCGGCCGTCAAGACGCTCAGCGTGACGAGCTCCGCTCCCGCACTGGCGATGGAGGAGGCGCTGCCGATGAGCGTGAGCAGCGAGTCGCAGAAGGCCCCCGAGGAGATCTACAGCAGCGATGTGCGCGTGCTGAAGGGGAGCAGCGAGAAGGCGAAGGAGGAGAGAGAGCGAGAGAGACGCGTAGGAGAGACGAGAAGAGTGCATGGTAGACGAAGAAGGCGCAGAAGAGAGCGAGGAAGGCGCAGGAGGAGAACGAGCTGCGCGAACGCGCGGCGTACGATGAGAAGGCGAAGCGAATTTTGGAGAATCGCAAGGTTCAGCAGTCGCTGGAGGTAGATTGATTGGGAAGGAGGCGAGGAGTAGGCGAAGAACGTCAAGAAGGGAGTGGTGGTGTCGAAGGGAGACGACTTCAAGTCGACGGCGTTCTTCAGGAAGTTGCAGGAGGAAGCGACGATGGCTGTGGATGACATCAAGTCCAAGATGATCGAAACGAAGAAGAAGGTGGGTGGAGAGTCTGCTAGTTATAAATTATAAATTATAATTGGTTCCGTTCTTTTATATGGGCTGTTTGTTTGAAATGGCATTTGCCCGAATTCTAAACTTCTACATTATGTGTGCATAATTGATCTTTCGTATTTTCCAGTGTAAACAAAGGGAGAAATCATCAAAGAAATCGTAAACGACGAAACAATGCACTGCACTGCCTGTAAAATCAAACCACATTATGTGTCATCTTCGAGAATTAGGCTAGTATTTTTATTCATAGAGAAAATCTCAATCAGAGGAAATACTATGGAAAATGCACAATATACCCTATTCTAAAGCCAACGCCTGTTTTCTCTATGTAAATAATTGGTAGCAACAATAGGGTAAGTGCACTAGTGCAAAATAAAGAAAAAGTGTTATTCGATCATAAATGCAAATCAGTAAACGTCTAAATAGCAATATGCACATTATTAACCACTATCCAGTATAGAGATAATCTAATACCTCTTATGGCAGTTCACAATCATTTCCGAAAACCGCAGATTCCATCCCTTACCATACAGCTATTGATTCTATAATTCCATTGTTTCCATATTCAGCATGAATATAGTTACAATCAAGAAATCGATTCTCTCAACGTTTTTCCGACATTCTATATTACTATTCCAGACGAATATTGCATTAGCAATATTATCCATAATAAATCTTGGATTCTCCTATTACCCATTGCTGATAGCACATAAGAAGCACGAATAGATCTAAGCAATGAGTTATACGAATATGCGAAAAATAAGAATATTATTGATAACTCTATAGATCATCCACGAGGACTATTATACTGCGTACGCCAAGGAAAACCGCCAAACAGTAGAAAAAAAGAAAAACATTGGCAATATGCATGGATTTCCACAGATTGACAAGAACTATCTCTACAAGGATAATAATTAGGTTTTGGGCATAGCAATTGACTTTTGTCCTCTACAATCGTATTTCTTCCCATAGCATAATATAACGGACTGTTAAAGATATCTGTCAATAGTCAGTTTAAACACACACAATCACTGTACATCTTGTGCCTTCATAATTAGTATTTTCCGTTTTTTTCCCTTATATCATCAATCTGATGGAAGATTTAGAAAATATATTTTCCCGAATACGATCTCTAGCCAAGGCAAACACAAAAGTGAAAAAAGGAGAAGAAGTGATTAATTACATTAAAAGCAACTATCATATGATTCAAGAAGAAGCATGCAGAGTGAGGTCTCCTAAGCGAAGGACGTACGGACGTTGTGAAGGGAAGTTGGTAGATGACTTCGTAGCCCTTTGCGACTATCGCTGTGATGCTCAGAATCGAACCGCCGTAAACTTTATAATGTCATCTTTGAAGTTTGCTGGGTATGAGGATGACAAACCAAGATTTCGTCAAAGAATGGAGAATCAAATGAAGAAGTTGAGAAAATTAAATAAGTCGGTGCGTCCATCCAATCGGAACTGTTTTTCGGAATCGAAGAATACTAGTCGAGAACGTCCTCACACTGATTCTGCTTCCAGTCGTCCTGATGAAACCGAACCTACTCCTACCTTCGATTTGTTATCTCCTACAAGTCTTTCGGACATGAAAGTGTTTCAGGAAGATGTTCTAAATGGTCTATCATATATTCCGTATTATGATGATGCGGATGGAGCGGGTGATAATTTTTTGTTTATATTTCCGGAGGATGTGAATAGGTGGCGGAATGCAGGTGTTATGGAAAAGGAATCGAATTGCAGTACTAGCGCGCTAATGAATTTTATTCTGCAAAATAAGGAATCTAGGCAAGTGTTGTTCACAGCAGATGCGTCCTTTAGGGATGAGAGCGAAAGGATTCCCTGTTTCTCTACAGATCCCAATAATAAATCTACTTTTTAAGTTTTCTTTTTAGTGTTCGTGTTTGTTAACATTTTTTATTCCTTATGAGTGATTCGCTCTTTTCCCTAGAAGATGCGTGGATCCAAAGAGCAGAGTACGGAATCGTGTTCGAGAAAGAAGAATTACTACAACTGTGTTCAAGAGTTCAAACACATGCTTTTCCTCCTCATATTTAGGTATCAGATATTCTGAAGACAGAAAATAATGTGCTTCATATTCAAGCACCTTGTACAATATGTGGTGACATTCACGGACAATTTGAAGATTTGATCGAGCTATTCCGTATCAACGGAATGGTTCCACAAAAGAAATATTTATTCCTAGGTGATTATGTCGATCGTGGCCATCAATCTGTACTTTTCTGAGCTATTAGCTACCTATAGTTGGAAGTCGTTGTACTACTCTTTTCACTCAAGATCCGGTATCCAAACGATATCTTTCTGCTACGAGGGAACCATGAAAGTCGTTTTCTATCGTCTTCGTTTGTATCCGCCTTTTTCTTGAGTGTAGATATGGATTTTACCAGCAATGCAAGAGATATTATAGGGATAAGAGTATTTGGAATGCAATGATGTCTGTCTTCGACTGTCTTCCTCTTTGTGCCATTATTAACGATACCGTTTTTGCAGTCCATGCAGGCATTAGTCCTTTCCTTCATTCCATTTCGGATATTGAAGTTCTAGATCGTTTTCAAGAGATTCCTTTGATATCCATTGTTGCACTTTGAAGTGACTTAGTTCTTTTGTGCTTTTGACTTCCTTAATCATACGAAGGATTATACTGCGATCTCATGTGGTCAGATCCAGCGCCTCTTCAAGGCTGGGTTCCTAATTCTCGCGGTGTAAGCTATACTTTTGGACAAGACGAATCCGAGCAATTTCTATACGCCAACAACCTGAAATTGATCGTTCGTGGCCATGAATTAGCTATGGAAGTAAAGGTAATGACTCGATGTGAATGCTAGGGATTCGAGAAAGTTCACAATGGTCGAGTGATTACCGTTTTTTCTGCTCCGAACTACTGCTATTATGTAGAGAATAAGGGAGCGTTTGTAGATGTTGACAGTAATTCGCAGATTACATTGTAAAGTGCTGCCATATCAATATTCTGTATAGATCTCAGTTTGAATGTACTTCTGCTTCTATGTGTCTTGTTTGTTTGAATTTCTCCTCTTATTCTTCTTTCCTGTAATTGTGTGTTATGGCCGCACATTCTCTACTCAATCCTGATCATTGCAATCATCCTTGTTTTCCCATAATATCTCAAATGATCAATTTTCACGCACATGTATCAGAGGTAGTCTTGAATACCATGTTGATTCTCAAACTATGAAATACGGATATATGATTATTATCAAATATAAATGCTGTAATAAAACCTATTATTAAACCATATCTGGGTCTACTCAAACGATATATCTCTTATTCAATTAGGTGGGAAAATATCTAATAAAAGTGATTCAGGAGGTCATTCGACTAGTTCATTGATTTTCTATATTATATATCGATCGATTGATGTCGTATGATTACCTTGAAACGGGTATTTCCTTAAATGGAGTACCTTTAGAGAAGCTAAGTAAAGAGGATATGATTCACTTGGCAGAGATAAAAGAAATTCGTCTTGATTGTGACTTGAACGATCGTAAAAGCATGATTGCCTTAATTGATAATGGTTTTCTACGATTTAAAAACAAGGATATCATAGACGAGTATTATTGAGGTATTTGGTGAATTTTAGCGACTGGCCTCAACCAGTGCCTTTTGAGGAAGAAAATTCAGTAGAAAATGGTGCTAAAGAATCAGAAAAGCAGGATCAATCTGATTCCGATTCGATTTCAGATTTGGCGATAAATGAGATAGAAACTCAGGATAATATGGAAGTGATGGATGATGGGATGTCTGAAGACAAGCAATTGCTTGATTATGAAGGGGATTTGTTGGAAAACTCTTTGGAGGGTTCGGCGAGTAATTTGAGTGAATCTGAAGGAGATATTGTTGATGTACATAATGTAGACGATGTATCCGATTCTTCAGGTCATTTTCTGTTGATTCCTTGATATTTAGATGTGAATAAGTTTTCCATGGATGGAGAAGCATCGAGTGATTCTAATTCTTGTCAAGAAATCGAGAACCTGGATTCAGAACCGCAAATGCATTCTATCTTAACTGAAAGCAAAGAAGAAGAAGGAGAAGAAAGCGATTCAAACGAGGTTATGGATGTCGAAGAGAGTAGCAAGGGTGAAGAAAGCAGTGAAAACGAAGAGGATTCTGCAAGTGAAGAAAATGAAGAGCAGGTCGCAAATAAAGAGAACGAAGCAAGCTCTGGAAGCGAGGAGAGCAGTGAGAGTGAGGCAATCAACGAGACCAATGAGAGTGAAAAGAATTCAGTGAGTGAAGATAATGGAGAGGACAATCCTACATCGGATGGCTCATCTTCTAATTCTAATTCCGATTCTAATTCTAATTCCGATTCTAATTCTAATTCCGATTCTAATTCCGATTCTTCAGGTTGGCACAATAGTGAGCGTTCGAAGCTGATTGCCAAAATGCGAAGAGAGAAGCTTTTAGCTCTCGTTACTGAGCAGCATAAAATCCTTTTCGATCTGTTGCGAAAGCGCGAAGAGGAGAATCTGAACAAGAGCAAGTATCAGTTTAGTGAAGTCAGTCATGATTATTTAATGCCTGAAGTGCACTCGCCTCACCATTATGTCTTTTCGGAAGTGATGTCTTCTCCTTCCCTTGAAAAGCCTTATTTGGCAAAGGATCGTGGGATGGAGATCGAGAGCAATCCAGTGAAAGTGCTTCCTCACTTGACTGAAAAGGGAGAAGTCGAAAGGAAGTCCGGAAAAGAAACGGCGACTCTGTTTTCCTCCTTTTCGGACTTCGTGGGCACCAATGAAGATGTGGCAAAAGATGTTCTGGATGTGACTGGCGTGACGAGTGGAGACAGTACAGAGAACAATGACGATGAAATCTGCCTAAAGGAAAGCGAATGGCACGTCGCGGACTCAAGTGACAGTGCGGTTTTTTCGTTGGGAGACGATCTCACCCATCAACAGAACAGCTCAACCTCTTCCCCCGTTGTGATTTCTTCGGAATCATCGAGCGTGTCTGCCTCTCCTTCGATTTCACTACCGAATGATAAAGAAGAACAAGAACAAGAACAAGAACAAGAACAAGAAGAGAAGGAAGAAAACATAATGGAAGAAGAAGAAGAAGAAGAAAACGTAATGGAAGAAGAAAAGGAAGACACAGAATTGCCTCATTTTGGTTCGGAGAGTACGGAGAACGGAACGGTTCTGAATTCTATTCCACCTATCGATATTACAGATAAAGTGAGTGTGGAGCTGACTCCGGGAGTTGAAGAATTAAGCAAACAGACGAGAATAGAGGAAGAGGAAACTCCTGTGAAGGCTGTGGATACAAAGGAGAATCGAGAAATTGTGGATATCGTAGACACTGAAGAGAGTCAAGAAGGTGAAGCAAGCAAAGAGTCTCTGAAGATTGAGGAAGATGAGGATTCTCGAGTTATCAATGCTACGCCCATCGCAAATTACCCAGAGTCAAACGAAGTTGAAATTATCGATGTTTCGGATTCTTCAGATTCCTCTTCCGCCAATTCTCCTGATAAACAGAAACAGAAACAGGAACAGGAACAGGAACAAGAAAAGGAACAAGAAAAGGAACAAGAAAAGGAACAAGAAAAGGAACAAGAAAAGGAAAAGGAAAATGAGAAAACTATTGTTCAGACATCAAAGGAATCACCTTCTTTAGATGCCGATTCATTCAAAGATTCTACGATTGACTTGTCCGCTATTCCAGAAATCACGTCAATACCCGAACCTCACTCGATAGTTGTTCCAGAGAATGTCATTGTCATAAGTCCAGAGAAGCCCAGTATGTCAAGTGATCCCTTCAAATCGCGTTTTTCTCTTGAGCAGATCGATGCGATTTTGAAACCATTCAGTACAAGCTGCGAAGAGCCATCGAAGTATCAGGCCAAACGGGAAGCAGAGCTCAGAAGACTGCGTCAACTTCCCTCAAAACTGGTTCATCGTTCGTTTGTTTTGTATTGCTTGATTTTGTAGCCACTCCTCCATCCATTCCGGAGCCGTTTATTGCTTACTCCGCTCCACACGCTCGGAAAGAGGACAATCAGAGTAACTCAACATCCTCTGCACCTGCAACGGAAGGAACTACTACTAAAGATTCTGATGCGACGATTCCTTCTACATCTACTTCATCATCGAGATATTCACGTCCATCAACTCAGAATACTGTTCAGTTGACGAAGGATTCAATCAACAAGCAACTCGTCGATTCGATTGTTAAATCGGTGTTGAAGCGACGTCAAGAGCGAGAGAAAGTAATGCAGCTGACAAGAAAGCGAAGCATTTCTGAAGATAAAGAAGATCTCTTTGAGCCTGAAGTAGATGTGAAGGATGGAGCGATTATGGAAGTGTCCAGCTTTGCGATCGATCATCCGTTCTTGGATTTGAATAAGGATAAGGAATGGCTCGAACATTACAAGCAGTCACAGAAGAAAGAGAGTGTACAGACACCGCAGCCAGGCTTTTTTAAATCCATTGCTTCTACGCTTCGATGTGCGATTGACGTATTGAATCCGTTCAAAAGAGTGGAAACTGAAGAACCAAGAGTAAATTCGAATCCATTTGTGTATGTGAATGGAAATAAAGAAGTGAATCCTGCTTATCTCGACTATGTTCATTATCGAAAGCAGCATCCGCTTCCTTTGCCTCCCAAAGAAAAACCATCTGTCATTCAGACTGAAACGCTACCCAGTTTATCTCCAGTTCCTGATGTCAAGCTGTTTCTCCCGGAAAAACATTCTCTGTTCCATAAGAACAGCGTGAGCTCGATCGGAAGCTCAAAGACGTCATCAAAGGAGCAGACAGATTTGAAAGAAAAAGCGAAATCTGGTAGTGAAGAGAATGGCAGAATGCAGAAAGCGGAGAAGAACAATTCCAAAATGTCTGTGGCTGGTAGTGATAAGAGTGCTGTTGAAAGGAAGCAGTCAGATGGAAAAAAGGATTTAGGGAAGGCCATTCCGAATGAACGTCGTAAGGGCTTCTGTTTATTTGATAATGCGTAGATCCTTCTGTGAAACGATTTGGTTTGCTTGACAGAGATGTACGGTGTTTAAAACAAGGGCAGAAAGTACCGAAACGATATAAAGAGGAGGAAGAAGAGAAGAAGAGAAGAAAAATAGGAATCTCCGGAGATCGTCAGAATAGTAGAAGCTCTCAGAAGATATTATCTATAAATATAAGTGATCCAAATGACAAACCTGCAAGCGGAGCAACGTTCAGTTTTGGAACCAAGAATGAATCAAACGACAAACCTGCAAGCGGAACAACGTTCAGTTTTGGAACCAAGAATGATTCAAATGACAAACCTGCAAGCGGAACAACATTCAGTTTTGGAACCAAGAATGAATCGAATGACAAACCTACAAGCGGAACAACGTTCAGCTTTGGAGCGAAGAATGATTCAAATGACAAACCTGCAAGCGGAACAACATTCAGTTTTGGAACCAAGAATGAATCAAACGACAAACCTGCAAGTGGAACAACATTCAGTTTTGGAACCAAGAATGAATCGAATGACAAACCTACAAGCGGAACAACGTTCAGCTTTGGATCGAAGAATGATTCAAATGACAAACCTGCAAGTGGAGCAACATTCAGTTTTGGAACCAAGAATGAATCGAATGACAAACCTGCAAGTGGAGCAACATTTAGTTTTGGAACCAAGAATGAATCGAATGAGAAGCCTACAAGCGGAGCAACATTCAGTTTTGGAACCAAGAATGAATCGAATGAGAAGCCTGCAAGCGGAACAACATTCAGCTTTGGAACCAAGAATGAATCAAATGACAAACCTACAAGCGGAGCAACATTCAGTTTTGGATCGAAGAATGATTCAAATGACAAACCTACAAGCGGAACAACATTTAGTTTTGGAACCAAGAATGAATCAAATGACAAACCTACAAGCGGAACAACGTTCAGTTTTGGAACCAAGAATGAATCGAATGACAAACCTACAAGCGGAACAACGTTCAGCTTTGGATCGAAGAATGATGTGAATGAGAAGCCTGCAAGTGGAGCAACATTCAGTTTTGGAGCGAAGAATGAATCAAATGAGAAGCCTGCAAGCGGAACAACATTCAGTTTTGGAACCAAGAATGATTCAAATGACAAACCTGCAAGCGGAACAACGTTCAGCTTTGGATCGAAGAATGAATCGAATGAGAAGCCTGCAAGCGGAACAACATTCAGCTTTGGAACCAAGAATGATTCAAATGACAAACCTACAAGCGGAGCAACGTTCAGCTTTGGATCGAAGAATGAATCGAATGAGAAGCCTGCAAGCGGAACAACGTTCAGTTTTGGATCGAAGAATGAATCGAATGAGAAGCCTGCAAGCGGAACAACATTCAGTTTTGGATCGAAGAATAAATCAAATGAGAAGCCTGCAAGCGGAACAACATTTAGTTTTGGAACCAAGAATGATTCAAATGACAAACCTACAAGCGGAGCAACGTTTAGTTTTGGAACCAAGAATGAATCAAACGACAAACCTGCAAGCGGAACAACATTCAGTTTTGGAACCAAGAATGAATCGAATGACAAACCTGCAAGTGGAACAACGTTCAGTTTTGGATCGAAGAATAAATCAAATGAGAAGCCTGCAAGCGGAACAACGTTCAGTTTTGGATCGAAGAATGAATCAAATGACAAACCTACAAGCGGAACAACATTCAGTTTTGGAACCAAGAATGAATCGAATGACAAACCTGCAAGCGGAGCAACGTTCAGTTTTGGAACCAAGAATGAATCGAATGACAAACCTACAAGTGGAGCAACATTCAGTTTTGGAACCAATAACAATAGTGTATATAATAATGGGAATAATTTGGGCTGGGCTTCTAACTCAAAGAAGATGAACCAAATGAACCAGATGAATCAGATGAATCCAATGAGCCCAATGAATCCAATGAGTCCAATGAACCAAATGAACTCAATGAACCAAATGAACCAAATGAGTCCAATGAACCAAATGAACCAAATGAATTCGATGAACGCAATGAACTCTGGTTTCAATTCATTTAGAAATGCACAACAACCATCGAATTTTTCTTCGCCTAATCAGTTCCAGAACCAAAACTTCTCCATTAATTCGTCCAATATCCCTTTCAACTCTCCAATGTCGCAGCCACATTCCAATATAGCAAACTCTTTTCAACCTCCTTCTCATCGTAGATGTAAGTATTAATGTATTCTATGTTACCTATAGTTGGAAGAATCAGAAGACCTCAATAATAGACAATTTTTAGCTTTGTTTCTTAACAAACACACTATTCCAATTCGGCTACTCTTTTCTTGTCTTTCACTTCTGAAACAGATTTCACTTCGGTTGTGGGGACTGAAGGAAGAGCAGCTGCTCCCTCCTTGTCCTCCTCTGCGATGAGATCGTCGACTTCCTTCAAATATTCGTCCAAATCGTCAGGTTCGTCTGGCTCAATGGCTGCATCGATTTCTCCAAGATATGCATCCAGAGCATCGATACGATCACGAAGCTCTTCAGGATTCATGGAAGAGATTTTCTAAAATAAAGATATCAGAAGACTAGCTACATCGGTAATTACTGTAAGCGCTTCAGAGACTTTCTCCATGGTCGCAAAGAAAGAATTGCACATATCAGCTTCTGTGACATCATGAATCTATGGAATAGCAATATCCCAAAATCAAAAACGCGGTCATATACGGACTGAATTGACTTAGTCAACTTACTTGTTGATTCTTTAAGGGATCTTTAAAATTATACTAGAAATAACATATATACTTTTCCATGAGAAGGTAGCTTTTGCATTCCTCAGTCCTTCCCTGCTTTCTTGCCTCAATTGCCTTTTGATGAAAAATTACTTTCTTTTCTTCGTTCTACAGTGTCATTCGATAAAGTTGTCAAACTGTTTCTAGTCTTTCCCTGCAAACACGAATGAGACGTTTTAAGCCTGCTGTTGCTTTCGCAAAATCATTGAATGTCGGACCGTTCGTTCTTCCAACAACCTCTTTTGCTGTACTTACGTTTTTCTCCATTTGTTCAAGTCGTGAATTATATAACTCAGAAAACTCTTGCAATTCCCTCTTTTCTTCATTTGAGAGAGAACTAGCCTTTTTCTTCACAAGCTCTTCAACATGTTCAACAGCTTCATTCATATTCAGCTACTCCTAAAATACAGACAGCTACAATATACCTCTTCGGATTGTACGGCACCCATGTTCCCAGTAAAACTAAAAATGTAACAAATGTGTAACAACAAAGACTCAAAATAAATATATGGACCACATTTGTAATAAATTGCACAAGCTTTGTCGGAACCCACAACACTCTCTTGGTAATTCGAGATACGCGAGTCATGAGAATATACAAAACTACAACGAGCAGAGTGATTATTGAAATCAAAAGCACCCTTCTTTCGAAGACCTCTCGCTTCTACCCATGAACATGTCTCGATTGAGCTACTCCCATTTTGTTCGTAATTCGCAACGACTGCTTCATTGATTCTGAAAACTGGTTGAGTATTGAATTTGTTTTCTTTCATTTACAAACACTACAACTCGTACTTCCATTGTATCATCGTCTTCGCTGAGGATCGTTCCTCCGTGATACAACGAATCCACATCTTCTCGAACGATTCGAAGAGTATTCTGAAGAGATTGAGTGATTTCTTTGGATTGTCTGTGCTGACAGAGTCAATAACATAGCTACTCTTTGGGTGTCGCTTTTTTACCGCGATTTCGTAATTCTTGTGACTTCTGAAGAAGCTGCAAACGCTCATTTTGGATCCTTCGATTTTGGATACGTTTTGATAGTTCGGCCCACACAATGCGAGTCTATTCTTACACGTTCCATCAGAAAAATACACGAGAGCGTAGCTTTCGCAGGTCTTGCTGATATTGCTCCACCTCGGGCAACTCCATCTCATAAAACTGAAAGTCATTAAAGATAGCGAGTCAAATACCTCCACACACAAATCAATAGTCTCTTCCATTTGTTTTTCAAGTTCTACAATATCGCTGTGTAACTGCTCTATCTAGAGAATCGAAACCAATGAAAGGAGTACTTCTTTGGGTGATTGCAGCTCATCCCCATTTTTCAGTAATTTCTCTAGCTTTTCGACCTTCTCCGTAATGAGATGGCGAAGATTTGGTATTTGCTCCAATGAATCCATAAAGACCAAACGTAATGTAAAAAACAAACATCAATACCCGTAAACGGCCAAAAAAATGTAAAGTTTTTTTAGAGTAGTTAACAGAAACAAAATTGGAGATTTTGAACAACGACCAACATTCAACCCAACTCCGAAAATCTGTAAATGACATCAGACGCCTCTGCTCCGATCCAGGAAATATCTGGACACTCACTGAACGTTATGGCTCCATCCTCACATTCCATGCCATCTTCTAGATTCGCTATTGGTTCCCTTTCAATAATTTCGAGTTGATTTTGATGATTATTATTTTCTTTGATTTCGTTATTATTATTATTATTATTATAATTATTATTTTCGTCTTCTTTGTCCAGGATTAAGCTTTGTGCACAACAAGAAGCAGTCGAATCCATTTCCATCTGCCCCGCAATCGAATTATTCGGCTGGTTTTGACTGGTTTCTTCCTCGTTTTCTGCCCTGCAGCTCTGGCTCTGTTCCTTCTCCTGCTCTTTGCGATCTGTAGTTCCAGGGGGTGGAGATGGATAGCATCTACATCGCATTTCAGACAGACTTCTACCCCAAATGACCCATCGAAATGATGCTGGGACGTAAGTATTTGCACGACTTCTTTTTTCGCTGGGTTGGCAATGGCTGCGGTATATCTGGAAGCTCATTGTGCTCTTTCAGCACATTTCTCCACTTGGGAAGTGGGTTGGATGGAATCAAAATATCTGGAATCACTCCATGTGCTTCTTTGAGAGAACGAACGATTTGTGGATAGTTCTTTACATCAAATGGATTTTGCTGAATTGGGTAGTCATTAGATTTATCAAAACACTCTATATGGACGACTTTTTGAGCAGCTTTGGCTCTACATATAACGAATGCACAAAATCAATGACTCAGGAGATTCTTTGTTAAGTAGAATGAAAACAAGTCGCTTCAATGTGCAGTTGACAATCTCCTCATAGGACATGCCTTCTGAACTCTTATTAGGAAATAGTGTAGAATATAGTGAACGAAGCTGAGTGACTGGCATAGCATATACATCTACCCCATCAACACAAATGGTGTGCTGAGAGGCATATTCCGTGAATTTATCAAAGTCAACGGCCCTTTCCTCATCCATTTAAAACAAACGCAAGTAAAAATACAAAATAAAACTACTGTGTTACATTGCGAGCTTCGAGATATTGGCGAACTGCCTTGTAAGGATCTTCCTTCACATGCTCATTGGAAAGAACGGACTACAATGAACACTCACCCCAAACCAAACCTGAAAACGCTGCATTTCGTTCAATAACATTCTGTTTCGTTTCTGCTGCGATTTCGGAGCCCCCTTCGGCTGGTTCTAGATCCAATTCACACCTTACCACAAACCTGCTTTTTCTCCACTGGCTCCTTAATTATATCCTTTAGAGCTTGATTGTCTGGCTGCTCACTGCTCAACTGCTCCATGACTTTTCTGCATGGTATAAAACGACCCCAAATATACTCCATCCGCTTCTGATTGTCCTTGCCCTTCAGAAGAGACAACACGGCGAGACTTTTCTTGGCGATAACATGCGTTTTGTTAATAAGACGCTTTCGTTGCCCACTACCCAATCAAATAGCGAATAGAAACCAATACCGACTCAATTTTGCCGGGTTCAGCGGCGTAGGCTCCGTTTTGGAGATGGGTACTTTTTTTACTACTCTTAACGCTCCTCCTCTCCAACTACTCTTTGCTGACTTTTCTCGAAGCTGTTTCCGAACCATCGGTCCCTTCAAACAATATATATGACTTGCGTCACAATTCCTTTAGTTTTTCCACTCCACGAACTTGACCCCCGCATATCAAATCGTCACGCAGCAAAGCACTCTCTACCTCCACGCCCACTCCCCCAAACGCTTCTCCAACAAACAGTCCACGGCAAAACCACAGCAAGCTCTGCAGGCTTGATCGCATTGAGCTTCCAGTTATAGAAATAATAGTGCAGCGTGCCGTCTCCGCGAGCGAACTTCAGATCCTCGAAGACCTCTCCATTGCGCATCACCTCCAACGCATTGAACACATCGCCGCCCTCCTTCTGCGCGGCAATGATCATATTCTGCATCAACTCCTGCATGCTCATCGACGTGTTCGCGTAGTAATAGCAGTACGTCGCCGTGAACGCGTCGTACTTCCGATTCCCGATCACCGACGACTGGATGTGGAAGAACGAGAAGAAATCCGTCACCTCTCCGCTCTTCTCGTCCACGCGCACGTAGCTCCCCACCACATTCTCGCGGGGGAGGAAGAAATGCGCCGCTTCCGCTTCCGAGAACTCCTGGTGCACCGCGAACCTACAGAAAAAGCCTCGATTTCGGGAGTACTGCTGGAGGTACGAGGAGAGAAGCTTCACAACCGCGGGGATGTCCGCGTTGGTGAGGGGGCGGATGCCCGGAACGGTGAAGGCCTAGATGGGAGCGAAACCGCGGGGATACCGTGGGAACCTTGAGAAACTTGATGTAGCTGGCGAGAGTGATGCGGCGAGGCGGAGCAGCGAAGCCGATGTCGATGAGCTTCTTAATGTTGAGGGCTCGGTGGAAGTAAGTGGCTTCCGTGATGGGCGTGGGGATCTTGATTCCCGCGGTGTAGATGGCTTGCCAGCCGTCGTGGCGATTGACGCGACGCGTGACTTCGCGGATGAGAACGGGCGCCAGGCGCTTGCTTCGGATTTTCTTGTGAACGCAGAGGAAATTGACCTGCGTGTGAACGGACAAAAGGGAGATGCTACATCCACCATTCTTACGGACTTGCCGCGGATGCTCACTGTCTGGGGCGTGGCAGTGATGAAACCATACAGATGGCCATTGTTCGTACCGCGTACACCAATATGATAATCCTTGATGTAGCCAGGAGGCGTTAAAGCCCTGTAGAGTAGCCAATTATTCGTAGATAATACCATCTCAGTACATCAATGCTGTAGGCAAAACGGAACTGAGCATCATCGTCCTCAACGTAGTTCTCAAGAAGCAATGTGTACACGTCCTTAGCCTACGATATGGTCCACACACAGGAAAAGCTTACATCCTTTTCGTTGAAGAGATCGATATCAACCCAAGAAAAACCGGTAGGAAGACGCAAGGGCTTGTCCGAAATTTCATCCGGCGTCTTGATGCGGTCAATCGGACCTTCGTTGCCAATAGCGACTACGATCGGCATATAAGTCCAAATCGCTACCTTCTTGAGGAACTGGCTGCGTACTCCAGAACTTGTGACTAACCTCCTTGACTGGTAAGCTCATGAAACTCTTTTTTATAAGAACAAACACAGAGCAACAAAACATGGTACATTTATTCCACACCTCCAATGGTCGAATACTTGGAAATGGACTTACTTCCTTCAGACATGGCATGCTTAGCCAATTCTCCCGGAAGCAGGAGACGAACAGCGGTTTGAATCTCAGCTCCAGTCAGAGTAGCTTTGTTGTTGTAACGAGCAAGATTGATGGCTTCGTCCGAAAGACGCTCAAAGATATCGTTCACAAAGGAGTTCATAATAGCCATAGCACGCTTGCTGATACCCACATCGGGATGAACCTGCTTCAGCACACGGTAGATGTAAGAGGAGTACGTCTCCAGTCTTCTGCGCTTGCGGTGAGAAAAGTCTCCCTTCGATTTCGCTCCCTTCGCACTTTTGCTTGGTGTCTTAGCCATTCTACGAAACATGAGAAATCCGTCATTTTGAATCACTCAAACACAAAACCCTACACTTCAACACAAGATTGAAAATAAAATTGAATCCGGAAAGAAAGATAGGGAAAAGAAGGATTGGACAGACAATAATCCGCAATCTTTTGAATAACCAATCAAATGGATGCATGCGAAATACATTTTTCACACTTATTACTATTTTTCTCGAGGGAAAAAAAGATTGTAAACCATGTCTGGAAAAGGAAAGGGTAAAGGAGGAAGAGGAAATGTGGACGGAAAGACGATGAGTCGTTCTGCTCGTGCTGGAATCACGTTCCCCGTGGGTCGTATGGCTCGTTACATGAGAGACATGAGAGTGGCTGATCGTATCGGTGCGGGAGCTCCTGTGTACTTGGCTGCTGTGATTGAGTACTTGACGGCCGAAATTCTGGAGTTGGCTGGAAACGCTGCGCAGGATAGCAAGAAGAACCGTGTGGTTCCCCGCCACATTCAGTTGGCCGTGCGCAACGATGAAGAGTTGAATGCGTTGTTCGGTAACGTGACGATTGCCTCCGGAGGTGTGATTCCGTTCGTGCACTCGGAGCTGCTTCCCGACAAGAAGGAGGACGAGGAGGACGATAGTGAGGAGAAGGAAGACAAGGAGGACGTGGAGCCTTCTCAGGCTTATTAAACCGGAATTTCTTAATTCCAGAGTGTTTGTTGCAATCAGTTGAAGGGATGAATAGTGTACTCTCACTTTGAAGTAATGGAGAGAATACGCTTCGGACGTGGCTCACTCAAACACTCATAAAAAGACGCAAACTACGCACTCCAGATTTTCACCAACCGATCCTTGCCTCCGGAAGCCACTTTCGTTCCAAACGGACTCCAATCAATCGCATACACTTCGTCCAGATGTCCCGAGAGCGTGTACAGCGCCTTCTTCCCCAGCGGCTTCCAGATCTTCACGGTGGAATCCCTCGACGCCGACGCAATAAACCGCGAATCCGGCGACCACGCGATCTGATACACCGCTCCCACATGTCCATGCAGCGTGTTGAGCAGCTTCCCCGTGGCCCCATCCCACACCTTCACCTTTTTATCGAAGGAAGCCGACGCGATGAACCGGCCATCCGGCGAGAACGCCATCTGATTCACCAGCTGCTGGTGGCCCGTCAGCCGCGCCACCGGCTGCTTCGAGCTCGCCGGCTCCCACAGAAACAGCGTGAAGTCGTCCGAGCACGAGCACAGCCGCTCGGGGCCGTTCTTCCTGGCCTCTTCGTAGCGCTCCTTCGCCGCTTGGAACATCGCTTCCTCCGTCGCGAACTCGCGCGTCTCCCAGCCGAACCCGCCGCTCCGCAGCACCGCGTCCGTGCTCAGCGCCAGCGCGTTCACGCGGTGCGCGTGCCCCACCAGCGTCCGCACCAGCTTCGCCGCCTCGCCTTCGAGCGCCCAGACGCGCACCGTTCGGTCGCGCGACGCCGTGTAGAGCAGCCCTTCGCCGCCCCATTTGCAGCACTCGATCGAGTCCGAGTGCCCCGCGATCACCGCTTCGCGACGCCGCGTCCGCACGTTCCACACCGCCACCGTGCCGTCGCGCGACGAGGACGCCAGCCGCTCGCACTTGGCGTTGCGGTGCAGCGGCTCCCAGCTCAGACTGGTGACCCACTGGCGATGCCCGCTCAAACGACAGACCATTTCGCCGGTTCCCGCGCGCCACACGATCACCTCCCCGCTCTTATCGCCGCTCGCGTAGAGCTTGCCGTTCGGAGACCAGGCGGTGCAGAGGACGTGGTTTCTAGGCTTAGAAAACGCTCGAGAGAGTACCGGTGACCCATGCAAGTCTTGATGGGGGTGCAGGTGTTCACATCCCAGAAACGAACCGTCATATCGCCACCTCCCGTGCCGAGAACTAACCCGTCGGGACTGAAGGACACGTGCAAAATCGCCTCTGTGTGGCCAGGAATACTATCTGTACAACGCGTCACGGGATTCACACGGTAGACAGACAGAGGTCTGTATTCAATTGTTACCACCCCTTCCGTCGTCTTGCCCTACAAATTACACCAACAAACTAGAAAGACCAGTTCACGCAAGCTTTCATTTACAGAACTCGATATTTCAGATTTATCTATGTAAAAGGCGAATGGAACCGTCTCTTCGGACTCAAGGAGTTCATTTAGTAACTCCTCCAACTGAGAAGGTGTAGAGTTACTTGGGATATCGATCTGAGGACCCTTACGCTCTCCCTACATCAAAGTAACACTCTTTGTAGTACATCAGCCGTTTGGAACTGCACGATTACAGACACCACAGCCTTTGCCTTTTCTTCTTCTTCCTGGAGTTTTCTCTTCTTCTCAGCGTAGGAGCTCATTCTCAAACTTTTCTTTGTCGTCCTATTTCTTCATTTTCTTATTCCAGACAGAATAGAAATGCGAAATAGAGAAAAGGAAAGACAGAATTCTTTCTCAGAATCTCGTTTTTGAAAAAAGAATCCTTTCGCCAGTATTACTCACAATTATAGTATGGAAAACTATTTTCCTCTTCATCCTGTAATTCATGATTTTGAATCTCTTGGAGAAATAGGATTATCTTTGAAGGAACATAATAGCCATATTTGTAAAAAAGTTTTAAACAGTTCTGTAATTCTGCTATTATTCATCCCAATCGTGATAATAGATGATTTCGAACAATTTGAGAAATAAGATATCATAGACAATGAATCTGCAAATATCAGGGGATAGAAAACTGCCAATTCGATATATCCACAGATTACTGAGTCTTACCGAAGTAATTTTGATAATGAAGAATGACCCAATTATGAGTTCGTGATCATCCAAACCTACTAAAGCGCTATGAGTTTATGGAATGACATGTTTATTGGCCAAGCTTTCTATTACATCCGTTTAAGAAATGTACTGACTAGTGGGCGTTTCATTTCTTCTTATTCATTAATATTGTTTCATTATTATCTTATTGCGAATATGGTATCCAAGCGAGTTTATGCATGTGATTACGGAAAAGGCCTGGCTATTCTGGGTATGCTACTTGCTCACACATTTGAGGCTGGTATTTGTGACTGGAATCACGATATTGAACTCCACTATATCCAGCGAATTCCAATCGCTGTAATAGTTGTATTAGCGCCCTTAGCACTTATCTGCCTTATGGGGTTATTTTTCACGTTCATTACGTCCATGACGTGTACTATGAACATCATTCGAATAGAGAGTAAAGGAAAAGGAGCTGTGATGAGCTACTTTCTATATCGATTTGCCTTTGCTATTGTCCTCAAGTTTGTTGAGATATTCTTTAAAAATTGGTGGCAGGAGTATGGCATTTTTCAAACCATGTCCATCCGCTTCCCTCAAGTTGAACTCGGAACGGACGGGGGTACGTTGGATTCGATCGGAGCTTGTGGTTTACTGGTCCCAGTTTCTGTGTATTTGGTCCGACGCATTCCTTGGGCTCGGAAGGATTATAAGCGCCAAGTGGTAATCCTTTCTGCAATTGCTGTTCTTCTTTTATTTTTCTATTTACCAATTGCCGACTTTTTTGTGATGCTGGCTGAATGGCTCTTCAAATATGAATTTAACTTCTTGGGAATTATTTGCAGCAAGTTCGGGAAAGGAAGTTTCATGATAGCGCAGTGTTTTCCCTTTGGATTAGTGGGTGGGTGTATTGCAATAATCATGGTGAGTACAAAATTATGGAAACCTCTTTGGATTTACGCAAGTAGCATGATGGGTATAGCTGTTGCGGTGGCTATTTTATATCTCGTAACAGATCCGGATCCCTTTAATAACGTTTTAAGCTACAGAAAGCCAAGTTTTGTCCGTTTCTGTGAGTTGGGTTTTGAGTGTCTGGTGATTGTATTTGCATCGCATCTATCAGACAACGAATCGCGTCCTCTTTTGAAGCGATACCAATTCAACAAGCATGTTACGTTTTTGAGACGAATTAGCTGTGTATCATTGTCTTGTTACATTTGGGAAACTTGGGTTTCTCGACAGATTCGGAAGTTCTTTATCGTGGTGGTTGGTTTTCCTTATGATTTGGAAAAGAAGGAGTCGCTGTGGAGCTTCTGGGCTGTTGGAGTTTTTATGATCGTGAATCTGATTGTGGACTTGTACATAATTACGTTCTGGGAGAAGATCCAGTTCCGATTCAGTAGTGAGCGAACGATCGCATGGATCTTATCGTGGTTATTTAACCGAAAAGAGGAAGTGGATTGGAAGGCCAGCAATCAAAAGATCATTTATGGACCGATAAACGAGCTAGAGAAGGAGATTATTGAATCGGATGAGACCAAAGCAAAGAAAAACCTGTCTACTGAAGTTCAAATGGTTGAAGTAGATATGGGCGAGAAGAATCCGGAAACGACGGACGCTCCTCGACGTACTCAAATTGGTAACAAGCAAGAAATCCAGTTGATGTCCACTTTAATCGAAGCGAATTCGAATATCGTTTCAAAATAACTGTTGCTATTCTAGATGTGTTGCTATTTGGAGGAAAGTAATAGAGCCAAATATATGTATTGCAAAGAAGTGTATACTAGGTAAATGAATGAGTTATTTTTTCTGGTTTTGTTGGAAATACAATCTAATAGTATTGTGAATATATACAATAGGAGTGAAGTGAGATACTAAGATCCTATGGAGTTATATTTTTTATTACAATAATTGATTCGTAGTTGCATTACAAAAATAAGCCTAGTGGAAGTAAATACATAGATTTGATGGTATAAATGTCTGTGAATTGTTATATTGGTCTTTCAAATTCTCTAACTGATCTTTATAGTGATCTCCATTACCAATTTAGTTCGATCAAGTCTATTCCTCTGATAGTCTTCATTCAATCGACCAAGTTAATTCAGTGATTTGTAAGGAAAAGTCTATTATTTGCTGATCAATGGAGCAAGTTTGATCATATCAATGTAACTCTCATATTCATTTTTAAAGGTTTTTATTGTCATTATTATAATTGAAAACAGAAAGGATTGGGATATACTAGTAAAACGAATTTATGTAGTGATGATACTTTTGAAAGAGACTGAATTAAAGATTGGTTCCTAAATCAATGAATGAAGGCAAAAGGACGGTATGGGATTTGGAACAGAGAAGTAAACAAAGGAAGCATTGAATATACAGTGAAGACTGAATTGCACGAAGGGTGTAAATCCAATAGAAATAACACAACAATACTGATTGTGAATAATATTCAGTCTCAAGTGTAATATAGTGATGATGGATATTACTGAATCTGAATCTGAATAAAATAGAGTATTTAGTTGATCTGGAGGGTAAATAACACATCAGATAATATAGAAGAAACATTTGTGAAAGTAATCAAATCAGTCGAACAGTACTTGAAATTGATTTCGATTGATCTGGTTTGTATAATCAGACAAATTGGTATACTGATAATACTAAATATCGAAATACGATCAATATTGAATATGTAGAGCTTTTTTCCGATATTATTATATGAGGTTCACAGTTACCATCTCTTTCAATATAGATGGATGTTCAATTTGAAAGAACTGCATTCTATTATATCAAATAACCTCATTTCAAATTCTCATTGTCAATGAGCATGTTTCCAAAATATTTTCTAAATCACATGTTCACCAAGTTGAATATAGAGAAATGATGAAAGATTTGGATGACTCATTTCAGTCAAACTCATTCAACACGTTCGATTATTGTTGATTTGGATTAATAGAGTGTTTGATTACCTATTCTATTTGATCAAACAAAAGAACCCCATTTTGAATAATACACTTTCACAGCATACAGAATTTTACTCTCAAGTCTTATCGCGTTGTATCGTATCAATTTCAATCACTTCCAAACACTCATAATAGGTAATTTTGATTACTCTCTGTAATTTGCTTTCTATTTGCTAATAGACAATACAATTCCGTTTCCTGTGATAGGCCGAAGGTTTTGGATAGATTTTGATGAAGTCAGCTAGCTTAGGAGAAATATCTAGAAAAGAATATAGTCAGTTAAACAATACTTGAAATTGATTTCCATTGGACATGCTCAAATGAATTCAGCAAATCGATATTTTGAAGATTTGGAATATCTAAATACTATCAATATCCAATCTTTATTATACTCTCTAATGTTACAAGACAAGGATATTCAAAGTTAAATCCTTCAGAATTGATGGATGTTAGATTTGGAAGATCTACAAAGCAAATCATTTAGAATCAATTCATTACTACTTCGCATTATCAAGGAACAGGATCTATCGTTATATTCTCCAGAGAGTGAATAGATACCAAGGTGAATGGATTGTAATGATGGTAGATCTACATCAATCATTTCATTCTAATTCTTTCAATACTATCAATTATTGTTGTTAGACTGCTTTCAAATGCCCTATCACCAATTGTGATGGATTGTAGATTTGGAAGATCTATGTATACAAATATTCAATATCTATTTAATACCTCGAATCACAAATGAACTGGAATAGAAATTATATGATTCATATCCCATGTAACTAATGTTACCAATTTGAATGGATTGTAATTGTGGTAGATTCTTCAATTCAAAGTCTCCTCCAAAATCACTGAAACTATATTCACCAATTTGAATGGATTCTAATGATTCACAATTCAATATGTGGAATGATTTCGATTGGTTGTTTGCTATCTTACAGTTCCAGTTAGATTGTTTCAGTTGAGTGAATGAATTCTGGCCGATTTTGATAGTTTTCAATCGATTCAATCCATCGATTTGGAATGTTTTCACTGATTCAAAACAATCATTGCCAATTTCGATTGATTCCAAATTATACAACAATGAAACATCCCAATCAACCAATACACAATTGTCAGTCAGTTTCAAATGTTTCATTCCGATATTCAGTGGTTTGCTTCCATCACCTTCATATTTCTCAGTATCGCATTCAATTCCATTATACCATTCACATTCATTCACTAATTTACCATATCGATCATACAGTTTTCCTCTTCCAAATCGCTTATCATCACACCAATATCCTTCATATTCAATCAAACCATTATTATGATAACTCGTTCCATATCCAAATCGTTTCCAATTGATCATTATGCCCTTGTACACCAATATTCCATCATCATCATATATTTCACCATATCCAAATGGAATTCCAAACTTGTTTTCTGTCAATACCAATCCTTCAAATCGACTTCCATGATCCAAATCCACGATTCCTTCTACTACTTCTATGGATTGTTCTTCATTATATGAAATAGAACCAATTTGATAATCTCCAAACACTTTCAACACTTTCTGCTCACTCAACACAAATCCTTGATTCATGAATACTCCATTATTGAATTGCAGTACTACACATTCTCTATTACTCAATATGAGTGAAATCCAGCCATTTGGTTTCATTTCTTTATCCAAGTATCCCTGCATATTCTGGATGATATTTTGATTAAAATTACGTATATTTACATTAGATATATCTTTATTAGGAATCAACTGCATAAGTAAAACATACTAATACATTCAAAATATAGTTTATTTTACACTTTTTGCTTCTTTTGCTTTTAACTCATAATACCGCTGAGTCAAAACTATTTCTTATGATATATTTAGTAATTCATGCATTCAATTCCTATCTTATGTATCTATCTATAATAACCTTCAATCGATTCATTGCTTCGACATATTTCACAACCAATATATACTCTACTACCAACTCTCATCTCAACCTTATTTGCCTAATATTATTTTTATTTCTAATTTAAAAAATCCTTGTTCACGAATCAAGTAACACATATGTTCAATCAAAAAAACATAAATTGCAATTACGATTACATCATGTCATCCTTCGTCGAATCTCCAGGAACTATAACCACCACAGTCCCGGGATGCATTCGAATCACCGGTAAAATCGTCGGACTGTCGTTTGGTCTCCACGGGAACTGGACTGCCATGGCTTCAGGATAATCTTCAGGTCCTAGATGAAAAAGCGATAGAGTTCCTACTGACTTGGGGCGGAACAACCATTATAATACAGGGCGCTGGGTAAAGAATTGCTACTCCATGGGAATAGAGTTGTGTATGATTCTGATTGTAGGGATCAATGTGATTGAGAATTTTCTGATTGGTATTATTCAGGGTAGATAGGGATGAAAACGGCTCTACTCAACAAGAAAAACAATTCATTACCAGTGGAGTAGCCTTTTGCTACAAATTGTAGTGATTCGGGTTTAACCATCACTTTTCTACCATTCTTCTTGGAGGATGTAATCAACACTTCAACAGACATTCCTGTGGACGTAATGATCCCAGACACGACTTCATTCTATTCATAACAACAAGTACTCTTTTAGATACGTCATAGTCGATTGTCACCAAATCACTTATCTCGATTTGAACGTTCTGTTGTTCTGAAACTATATTTTGGCTAACTATTATATGGATTACTCTTCTTCTTTAATATTTTTACTGATTTGCAGTTTGCATCGACCATACTTCCTGTTTCATCTATTCTTATTCGGACATATTCCAGATTCAGCAGTACCGCCGTCCCCTGCTTCCAGCCATTCTACAAGTGAAACAACCAACTCTCTCCCACATTTGTGCCAACACTCACAATATCGTCCTTACTAATTACCTTGCTCCACCTACTATCGAACTTTGTATATATCATCGATCGAAAAGTATGTCAACAAACAAATCTCTGTCTTTCACAACAAAAAACGTCAACTACATAATAGTGCACTTCTTCTTTCCATCTCCCCCTTCCTCCTCCGTCTCCTCCTCCGTCTCCTCGACCTCATTCTTCTGTGGATGGAACAGCGTTCTAAAGTCCGCATCCTTGACATCCTGCCTCACATAGAACAGAATATAAGCATAAGGACTCAGCACGTTGTTCTGCGGGATCGGCATATACCGACTGTCATTAATGGAGTACCACTTCCCATCCGCCGCCAGAATCGAGCTGATATAATGCCCTCCCTCCATTTCTCCGTGGTGATTGATCACTCCGTAGAGATCGTACTTCGTGCAGCTGCTCCGCTCGGCCGGAATCGCCTACGCTCGATCGCCCTCCTCACTCAAACGAGATTCGTGTGCTGCGCCTCGAACTCCTCCCACTTCTTCTCGCTTTTCTCCATCAAATCGACCGGCGTGTTCTCCTTCTGCGTCGAATTGTACTGCCCGCCCAGCAATTCCCAGTACTTCAGATCCGCCCACCCCACGTTCGGCGTCTCTCCGACCGTGTACCGCGCGATATCGAAGTCGGTGAGCGGGAACTCCACGTTGAACTGCAGCTTGGTGTACCCGTGCGAGTTGCTGTGGAACCGCTTCAAGTGGATCACCAGGATGGGCGGCGTGCGCCAGATCCGCAGAGACAGCGAGTGGTTCGTGAAGAGCTTGCACTACAGAGAGAGAAATCCACGCGGCGCCTACGTGATCGCAGCGGAGCTTCTGCTCGTCCTGCAGGATCTCGGTCTGCACGAACTTGTCCAGACACTCTTCGAGCAGAATGTTCTGCTTCCCCGTCGCGTCTTCGCTCTCCACCGACCAGTGCGCTACCGTGTTCTCGTACAGAATCTGATGGAAGTGGTCCTTCAAGAAGTCGCTCTCCCAGTCCACCGCGATTTTCCGGCTCGTCGTCAGGCAGTTCAGCGGCGTGTCGTCCGGAACGATGACGCACCCCGTGCACCCGTTCAGCCAATGGCACGCGATGCAGGACATCCCCGAAGCATCCACCATTTTGAGCACAAACCCATAATACTTCCCGATCTTCGACTCCATCTCCTCCTCCTTCATAAAGCCCCACTCTTTCTTGAACATTTCCGGAGGGGTCTGCCCGGACGAGCGGCTTTCGGACTCGTCTTCGGCGCTGATGGGAGGAAGCGAGGCGTAGGAGTGGTAGGGAAGCTCGGAGTCCATGAAGGAGGAGCAGACGGGCTGGGTGATGTGGATCGAAGCGGTGCGCATGAGAACGCGCGGCATGAGGTGGCGAGACGAAGAATTCATCGTGTTTACCGCGGTTTGCTGCGGAGAAAAGGGGAAAAAGGGGAAATACGGTGATGGGATTGGAGATGGTTTTGCGGAAATGATGGGAAATGTAGTCGTAGAGCTGACGACCCGTGACGAACTCGGGGATCAAATCGATGGCCTGCGGCACGCCGGCCATGATCGGCGTGTTGAATCCAAGATAATAATCGTCGTTCTAGGATCAACAGTCCTTGGAGGATCGTCGTACAATACCCATGTAGCGCTGAATCACGTACATGCGACGCACGCGCGGGAGACGACGATAGAGCCTTCCTAGCGGCACGGAGAGCTCCTGCTCGGACGGGAAAATCCGAACCATGTATTGGTCTTTGTACATCGCGGAGGTCCCCATGTAGATCCCGGGAAGATACTTTTTCGCCTCTCTATCGCTCAGCCCCGTCGTTCAATGCAACCGCTCCACATAAACGTAGTCGCCGGGTCGAAGCATGTACTGCTCGCGGTCTGCGAACTCCGTGATCATCATCTGGCGCACCTGCGAGTCGGAACACGCCACGCGGAACCGGAAATCGGTGTATATCTCCGTCACCTTCCCAGTCAACGGCAATCCGTTCGGACCCTTAATGAGCAGCTTGTACACCTGGTCCTTCTCGATCTTGTGGATCACCGCGCTGCGCAAATACTGCTCATGCGCAGGCTTTCCCAGATAGCAGCCTTCGGGAGGAAGCACGAACACGGTCAGATCGGAAAGGTTGATCTCGTTCAAGCGCTTCGAGCTCTCGAACACTTCGATCACGTTGTTGTCCTCCACGCGACCCAGTTGGATTCGGCAGTCCCCCAGATTGAACGACGGATCCAGCTCGTTCAGCGCCTCCTTGATTTGCTCTTCGGTGCTGTCCGCTGGAACGCGAATCGAGCACTGGATCGGAACACGGCCTGTCGAATAGCTGAGAATCAGCGAGAGCGCTCTATCGATCAAACCCCGTCTTTTCTCTCTCTCCCTACTTCATCTCGGTTTTGGGAAGCGGCAGCTGCAGAACGGTGAACGGGTCGAACTTCGCACTGCTGTAATTGCACGCCGTGCACTGCGCGAGCGATTTGAATTGCCCGCAAAACAGCGCCGTGATGATGCTCTGCTCGCGCGAACAGTGCAGAACCCAATACCGTCTCGCCAACTCGCTCTCGGAGCAATAATCTCCGTCCAGTTCCACGTAAGGCTTTTTGTACGTGAGATTCAAATCCTCGCTGAGCCCCTACTCCTCACTCCCTCCCTCCAATCGCACGTCCAGCACCACAGAGAGAAGCTCCTGCGCGTCGTGCTGCGTGTACCCTTGAAACTGCGGCTGGAACATGCACAGCTCGTTCTTGAACCGACGCGGCGCGATCACGCGCGTCTGCATCTCCCACATCGCGGACATCAGCACGCCGAACGCGTTGGCGAGCTCGCCGTTCATCCCGTCGCTGCTCTCCGGGTTGATGTCCGACGCATAATCTCCTGACAAAAAGTAGTCGCGCAGAAGATTGGTGTGCGTGAGACACTGCAGCGACGAATTCATATAGCACGTGTTTCCCAAATTCTCCAGCCCCGTGAGGCCGGGCACCCCGTTCGATCGCTTCGTCTTCCGATCGTCCGACGTTCCGTAGACGAACGCTCCGTTCTCGTTCCGCTCCTCGATCATCACCGTCGCTTCCTCGCAGAGCTCCAGGTCCTCCAGCGTTTTCTTCTCGTCCTTGAGCAGAATATCGTTGTCCTGCGCGTCTTCGAGGATCCACAGTCGGCATTTGTTCGGCTCCAAATCGTAGATCTGGCAGATTCGCTTCTTCACGCGCTCCACCGTCTGCACTTTGCTGCACAGCAGCGATTCGTTGGATTGGTCGGGCGTGCCGTCCTCGTTGCACAGACAAATGTGCAGCAAGAGCGGGTAGAGCTCGAGCTCCAAATTCTTATTGCTCGCTCGGATCACGCGGCGCGAAATCACCGGTCCGCCGCCATACCAATGATAAATCGCGTTCCACAGCGATTCCGAGATGATCATGTACTCTTTCTTCTCGGTCAGATTCGACAGCAGGCGCAGCTCGTCGTCTTCCATCAGGTTGGAGTTGTTGATCGCCCCGGGACGCTGCGCGTGGAGAACTTGGTCCGCATCGGCGCCGTGGATGTACTGGATCCACAGCGACCACCAATGCTTCGCCACCACGAAGTACAGCTCGTTCGCGACGAGATTGTCCGGACTGAACTCCTTGAAAAGCCGCTTGTATTCCTTCAACTCGTCTTCAGGACCGCTGGGCAGCGGGTATTCGGGTCGGAGCTGGTGGGTCAGGAAGGAATAATGCGAGGGGTGATCGGCGATCCACTCGAGCAGTTCGTTGGTGCTGATCGTGGCCTTCTCCTCTCTCCCTTTAAACAGCGCGCCGACAAGAGACGAGATGTTCTACTGCTCACACAGCCGCAGCAACGCTACCGAGTGGTGCGATGTGTCGTCCTGGCTCAGTCGACGGCGCACGTGGATGCGCCCGTCCTCTTCCTCGCTCTCGGTGGTCTCCTCCGCGTAATCGAAGCTGCTGTCGATGGCGAACATGGTGACTCCGTTCGTGAAAAGGATGATCAGATCGCTTGCCGTGAACTGGTCCACAGCCTTGCAGGTGTATTTGAAAAGATGGAGAGCGGCGCGCAATCGCTGGTCGATCGGATCGTGGCAAAGCAAACACATCGCAGACACGACTTCGTAGATGTTGAGTCGCTTCTGCTCCTTCGAAAATTCCGTGAACACCCTAGAGACCTCACTCCCAAACCGAATCCCCACATCGTCACCAAATCCTGCGAGAAGAACTTGCTCATCTCCGACAGCCACTGCGCTTTGGTGATAAACCCCTGGCTGCTGCAGCGACTCAAAATTCCGTAGATCTCCATCAGCACAGAGGTGGACATGTCGTGGATGTGTTCGTAGATAAGGTTCCGCCGGTTTGTGTAGAAGAGCTTCGAGAGCTTTGCGTTCCCACTGCTCTCATCATCCGCGATCTCCTGACGAATCATGCAGGCGGACTCGATCTGTTCCTGAAAACGGCTGACCCAGCATATAATCGGACAGTTCGGATGGTGAATGCCAAAAGAGTAAAAAGTATCCCAGGTGATGATAACATCCTGAGGAGAATTGCTATCGATCCCAAGATCCTGCAAAAGCCTTCGGAAGCTCCAGTCGACATCACTTCCAGTTCGTGTGTCCACACTCTGGAAAAATTGCAGAATGCAGCTGACAGAAACTTCTGCTGTCTTTCCTATACGCTGAAGAAGCTTATAGGTGAGCCGGAGCTTCTCCTCGAAAGATCCGTTGAGAATGATGTAGGCAAGATAAAAAAAGGCATCTTCAGAAACATTTCCCCTGGAATCCGGGTCCATACAGTCAAATATAGCATTCGTAATATAGATGGGCATGTTTACAAAGCGCTTCTGGACATCTTCAACAAAAACAGTCTTCCTGATCGTCCTTTTATCTTCGTCGGAGAGACATAGATACCAAGAATTAATGTACAATCTCTGCGTGGAAGTTAGCTTTGATTGTACTTCCCTTTTGGATAGTGGCTTTCCTTGATTATTACCCATTAGATAACACTCAATCTATGAATATTTATACCTGTAATATCAAGAGATAGAAGCACTCTAAGTTTGAATAGATATTCTTTTTGAAAATAGTTCCGCGATTTTTCGCCGTATGCAACAAACATTCAACTAGGAGCACCGTAAATTAAAAGAAACGAAACTATTTTAGAAGTTTCTCTAACGAATCACCGTGAATCGTACGGAATACCGCGTTCTACACATCAGCACAAACAAGACCACCCTCACCTGCAACCGTTCCATTGCAAACGCAGCGTACTCATCATTCCCAATATATTTCCCCAGTTTATCCAAAACTTCCTTTCCATCGGACAGCATGCCCTCCTCTCCCTCATTCTCCACAAAAAACACTTCGTTCGGCATCACCAGCAAATTATCACCCTCCACGGCTCGGTACACCTTCTGGTTCAACACCATCTCTCCTTCTCCGGGTTTCCCCAGTTTCCCCAGTTTCCCCAGTTTCTCCAGTTTCTCTCCATCACAGCACACCCCCGCGAACACGCGAGACACTCCGTCCCGCGACAGCACGGTGTCCCCATCGCAGAAAAGCCGGTTCTCCGCGGCCAGCGCGGTGATCGCCGTCTTCGCCGCCGCGCCAAACGCCAGCTTGACGTCCCCCGAGGCGGCGATGCACGTGCAGCAGGGCAGGATGCACTTGCTGATGGGTCCCTTGATGGGCGGCGTGTTGCTCTCGCCCGCAGCCATCTCCACGCGGCCGCGCTCGGCGTCGAAGACTTGCGCGGTGGCGGTGGCGAGGGAGCGGAGGATGAGGCGAGGCGAGACCTCGCCGCCCACGAGGACGGTGAGAGAGCGGGAGTGGAGGTCTTCGCCGATGGCGGTGAAGGGCCGAGAGAGTCCGCGCGCCACGATGAGGCTCAGCGGATGCGGGGTCTGCGGGTGGCGCAGAGGCATGCGGTGCTGGGCGTGAGAAGGGAGAGAAGAAGAAAAAGCATACGAGCATGTTCTTGAGAAGAAGGGCTGTCGCAGGGTCGTTCGTGACGCTGCGAATGCGGGTCTCGAGGAGGCGGCCGGAACAGACAGCGGCGTCTTCCACGTAGAGGTTAGGGACCTTGGAGAGGAACTCCTTGACTTCGTCAGAGAGTTCCTCGAAATCACTGGTCAGGGAGGGAACATCGCAGTCCGAGACGTACGTCCGCTTACAAAATGCATTCCCGCACTTGTCGCGGACGCACTTTAAATGACTCATAAGCAACGAGCGGTCCGGGTTGCGATACGCGTTTCCCCAGACTGTAAACCACTCATTCGCTAGAGACCAGTTCAGGTCATAATCCTTTCCAGGCTGCTCGCGTGGAAAGGCCTACAAGCTAAATCGCCACCACAAACGTCTACAATGTGGTCCTCGTCACTGAAGGGCTCGAACTGAAAGAGATCTTTGGATTCCATGTTACTCAAGTGGTCATATTTATCAAAAGCGGGAATGCTCTCGATATTGATCACACGAGTAAATGCACGGCGTAACAAATGTATCGGAGATACTTTTGCCAAAAAACTCATAAACGAAAGGCCACGAATGGATCTTTCCAAAGCACGACGAAAATCGACCCGATTTCTGGACTCAGAGAAATTGCCATTTTTTGTGAATGTTCATAGTTTGATTTGAAGAATGAACCCATGGTCTAAATACAGTCTAAGAATCATAAATATCCTACTTTTATCTCATTTTGTGTTTTCGTTTGAAGTCACCTTTCGTGACTTTGTACCAAATGCGGGGAATGAAGTATTGATTTTATGTACAATTCAGCGATTAGATGAGTTGGGTTTGCAATGAATGTCACTCTTACCTCAAACATCCTGATTTTGGAAACGAAGTGAAGGGAAGAGACTACCATATTGTGGAAGATAGATTAGATAGCAATGGTAAACCCCTCTTTTGTGAAAACGGCCGCGCAAGCAATAGTTCGTGTGGAGTCTTCAAGTCCGTTCAGAGTGTTTATTCGTTTGAATCTTGGTTGCAACATTTTTGTCGTGTTGATGTCTAGGTTTACCACCGTTTCTGAGATTAATAGAGAGTGCCACATCGAGGATCATTCCCTTATTCAGCAAGATTGGTCCTTGAGCACGGATGATTTGTTCCAGCTCATGGACAAATGCAATCCGGGCTCTCTCTTTTCTCTGAGCACCTACGAGCAGTCCGTAGGCAAGTGCTGGTGGACAGCCGAAGTGGTGGATACGATAATGGTCCAGAAAGGCTATCGAATAACTGTTTCGTACGACTCCTTTTTCTCCTTGATGTCAGATCCAACTCCGACGTGTTTTTATATCTGGACAGCTCCCGGGTTTTGGAATTGGCAGGGACAACGAACTCTCCAGTCGTTCAGAGTGTGGATCTGGACGATTTATCGCTCAACGTCGGGCAAACGTAACCTATTCATCCTCTCTCTCTCTCTAATCGGTAGCTACGAACTCAAGCTCTTCCTCACAAGTCGGCTTTCGTCTCCACTCAATTTCACCCTTTCCACAAACATTCTGCCGCTTTGCTATCCTTCCTTCCACGCCGTCGACACGCTCCTCGATTCCTGCCGACACGACGGTCAACTCGAGTCCAATCCTTCCTTGAAAGCGAGATCTAGATCGATCGCGGATGGCTGGAAGTACCACTTCGCTCCGGGCATGCGGAACTCCCTTCTGTAGGCTGCGTCCGATCGATTGAATCGTAGCTTTGATCGGAGAATCTCGACCTTCTCGTCCTGGTCGCTTCTGTTTCGCTTTGGATTCGTTTCGCGTAGGTTCCAGTCGATTCTGTGAGCGAAAGTCCCCTTCCCCTTCCGCTTTCTTCTCATGAAATCGGGTCCGAACTACAGCCAATTGTATCGATGTGATCGGGTTTTGAAGTAGCGCCAAAAACGTTTATCTGGAGATCTACTTCTCGCATTCGCCGGTTTTCACGATCACGCTCTCGATGGTGACTCCGGAGAACGCGGTGGTGCTTTCGAAATACACGAGCGAGTCGTCGATCGGCTGGTCGGATCGATGCGAGCTTCGCTACGAAGTGCATTTGAAGCAGTTCTCGCTGCTGCTCCACACGCTGAACGGAACCGCGACGCTTTTCGAGATGAGCCACATCGATCTGCAGAGCAGTTTGCAATCCGACACGTCGCGATGGAATCATTGAATGAGTCGCAGCTTCTCCTTTCTATTCGATCTCGTGAAGCTCGCGTCCTACACCTTCTCCGAGCCGTCCATTCAGCTCTCCACGCTCTTTCAGCTCCCAGACTTCTCTCCGGAGTTCTCCTACATCGCGCTGCGTCGAACCGAAGTGGCGTCGAGTTGATATGTGGCCGGGTTTTGACCGAAAGACTCGCTGGTGTCGCTGGATGTGTATTTCCGCGATTCGTGCGATGTGGCGCTTCCGTTCGGCGGTCTTCCGGCGATGAATGCGTCGCTGTGCGTGAGCAGCAGCATCAATGAATGCCCTGCGATTGCTGTGGAAAGCGAGTTGGATTTGAGCAGTGCCGGAGATCACGTGATCGTCACGCTGCATATCGATAAAGTGGGAGGCAGAGCGAGCGGGTGAACGAGTAGATCGGGAAGTACAACGTGAAGATCGAAGTGGAGTCGGAAGGTCGGCAGCTCGTTCTTCTCTCGCCCGAAATCACCGTGGTTTCTCCTTCCATGTCGGAATTGGGTTGCGGTGTGATGCTGCTAGTTCGAAAGAGTACAGCTATCTGGCGATTGATCCGGGCGAAATCCCCGTGGAAGGAGACCTGCTTTTGATCACGACGAACTGGGTGTTTGTGACGAAACTCTTCCCCTTCGACTCCAACCGAAACATGGTTTCGCTGGAGAATCGAAAGCTGCTGATCGAGTGTATCAACGAGAACACGGAGGAGGTTCTGCTGACCACGATCGATATGCACGATCGGAATTTGGTGGAGCAGAAGGAAGATCATTACGAGATCAAGCACATGTTGTTGAAGACAGGAGTTTTTAGAGTGTATTTCATTCTCGATTCGATGATTGTATGATGGAGGAGCCGCAGCCCATCACGCCTAGTTCGAGTTTCCAATGCGTCTCCAAGTGGATTGCTCGCGCTTGTCGCCTCGTTTGCTGTCTCCGTTTGGCTCGCTGTTCGACCCTGTTCTCTACGTCGATCACACCTACGTTCTCAGTCTCTTCCTTCGCGATCTCCACGGCAATCTCTACGATCGAGGTCGCACTCTTGTTCCTTTCTTCAATGCAGCGATTTCGTCCGTCGAGTGCATCAATGATTTCAACGAAACCATCGTGACGCAGTGGACACGGCAGAATTCAATCCTCGAACTCCAGTTCTCAACTCTGCGATGCGTTGAGTTGTAGACTGCTCAGCACAAATCCGGGAATCACCTCGCTCACTCTCTACATCGACTCCACAGAGATCTTTTCTCGCTACGTTTTGTTCCAGGAGTGGCCAGCTTACTCGTCATCGCTCAGTTTCGCTTCTCCACTTCCCTCATTCCCAGCATTGCCCACAACAGTCGTAGTGAACCAGCCGTACTTCCTGCTTCTGGAGACAAGCTACACGCTCACCGTGAATCGCGTCGTGCAGCAGCCAATCGCAATCGGATCTCAATCGATCGCGATGTACGCGCTTGAATTCACGCGAATCACGACTGTAACCGTGAGCATTCTGGACGCTTCCCAAACCTCTGTGGTCACGCAGCGCGTTTCGACCGTCTGCGACAATCAGGACTTGATGGTGCGCGATGTGCAAGTGAACCAAGACGGGCTGGAATTGCTCGCGTTGTTCTACATTACCGATGGCTCATTCAACAAATGTCCGCGTCAGAATGTCGATATCAGTGTTTTGTTCGTTGGCAACACGTCCGCTTTGTGCATCTTGCAGTATAACACCACTGTCTATCCGTACAACTACCTCTGCCGCCTGATGCTGCCTTCTGGATCGTGCGATGTGCGAGAGAGAATCGAGTGTAGATATGTGATTACGGCAATGGTGGATGGATCGGAGATCGGCAAGTTCACAAAGCAGATCAACAGCATGAGTCCGACCGATTCGGTTTCGAGCATTGTGTGCGAAGGAGCAGGCCTTTCCGGCGGGAAATTCTTCGACACTAATTTCATTTTGATCCACGGCCTCTCTGCGTCGTCGCTGGTCTTCATCAGCTTGGTCAATTCGAACGACCAATCCTCGTTTCCCTACTAGTAGATTGTTGATCGTGTCTGGAACGTAGCACGCTCTCCACGTTCCAAGAAGACGAAGTGCTCAAATTGCGATACGTTGTGTATCCCATCATGACCGCAGAGGAGTATAACGGGAAATTAGACTTGGATCTGTCGATTCTGGTGAACAATGTGGAGATCTTGAAGACTCGTGTGCATTTCATTGAGAACGAAACGTATTGTAACGATGTCCGGCTCGAGCACATCTCGTTTGATTATATTGATAGTAACGCAGCGGAGCGGAGGTGATTGGGTAGATGCGTTTTCGATTCCGATGAAGCTGTGGATGAAGTTCAGTTATCAGAGCGTGGAGTATTCACTTCCTTGCTTCGCTCGACACAGCGAGTTTATCCGACAGAACTTGATCATTTATGTTTGAATCGGATTTGGTGTTTTCTTATTTCGTAGATGATTGAAAAAGACACGCGAACGACAACCCCGGTCTTTCCGTCTGTTGCTCACATTGCCAACTCCAGCTATCTGCTGTACAGCTCTTCCTACACGACCAACCACTACACTCTCCGCATCTTCTTCAATCAAACCTTCCTCAACTCGATCGGCATTTCCATTCTCAGCAGCAATGAAAAGATTCTGGTCGATCCCGAAGGAATGATCTATGCGAGTATCCTCTCTTTTCTACCTCTCTGACTGTGTAGACACGCAGAGTACGCTGCGTCTTCGTTCCGATGACGCGTTATCCAACATGCTCAACACGGAAGATCTTCACGCGATGATCGTGAACGAAGGCACCGAGATTTCGTTCACCGAGGAAGTCTCGCAGAACCAAATCCGACTGAAGTTCGTGCCTCTCCACTGCTCCACGAGCGAAACCATTCTCTATTACTGCTTCGCGCGCTCGTCCTCCTGCCACAGCGTTCGCTTCCTCGTCTCCGCTTTGTCGTGGTTCAATCCGTTTGCGTGGAAGTGCGGGGTAAAGGATAGAAGCATTCAGCCGATTCTGGTGGACGGAACGGACGGACTGTACAATCCGCGAATCCGGACGGAATACTATTTCACGCTGGCGTTCGAGGCGTGCAATAACATCGTGGACGAGTCGATCAACATCGTGCTCACGTATACTTCCGATCAGACCTACTCGTTCGTGCTGGTATGCATCGAATCGGTGCGTGTGAGCGGTAGGATAACAAATCGATCGCGATGATCGAGCCGAATGTGCACAAAGTGCGTCTGCCGATTCTCTGCGAGAGCTCGTCGTTCTGCATCACCAAGCAGAAGTATCATCTGCAGATCGTAGTGAACGACGTTCCGTTCGAATACGACAGCATGATTTCTTGCTCTCGCAACGACATCACTGGCTATTCCGTAGAGTATTCGAACACGTATGTGGGAAGCACGGTGTACGTCGTGTTAACGCTGGAATACCAATTCGGACTGGACTGCATTACGATGAACAACAACCTCAATGTACTGCTTCCGGGAAAGGTCGATTCGATGTAGATGACGCTGACGGACCCGGATGGATTCAATTCCACCGTCGTGTTCTTTAAAGATTCCGACGTGGTGGGACCGTACCAGTAGCGTTTGGAGGATGTGGTTTCATGCAGATGCACGATGGTTCCCACGAAGAAGGGCAACTACACGTTCAGCAGTTCGAGGCTTCAGTTCGTGGTTCCGATCGATTCGATCGTTCCGTCTCGCACTCTCTCTTCCATCAGCGTTTTCAACGCGACCGGCGAGGAAATCGATCACAAAGATACTGTCATTTCGGTGCTGGCAGGCACGTCGCTGACGCTGGTGGTTCACTTGGTGGACGAATTTGGGATCCAAGTGAACGCGGAGCGACTCATTGAATCGGTAGTGCTGAACGTGATTTCGTACGAAGACGGCAATCCAGTCGGTTTTGGGGGCGGTTCATTGATCGCTAGCAAACCTATTTCCAGCTGCATCCAGAGTATCGCGACGGCGAGCTGATGTTCACTTCTTCGCCCTACACGCAAGGCGTCTTCTATCTCTATGTGGCCTACAAAGATGCCTTTTCCGACATCTCTCTCACCGGAGATGATTGGTGGATCGAGATTCAGGATTATTGCATTATCGAGGTGAACATCAACAGTCTGAGAGAAGAAACCGATAACGATTTGAGTCTCACTTGCGAGTCGGGCGTGTATTGCATGACCATCGAATCGGTTCGAGACTGCCTCGTGGACTCATCCCTAGTGTGTCGACAGCTGGGAGAACTGTCCAGGCGCGTGTCTCGGTGACACGCCTGTCAAGTGTGCGGATGGAACCTGTGTGTCCGACTTGAAGGAATGCCCCTGCCCCGCGCAGCTCCCCTATCATTGTAGTCCTTCCGCTTTTCTTCGATGCTTCCTAGGCTTCAATCTCATGGGAATCAACGCTACCTATTACCAAGAGCCTCTTTGCGTAATGGAGGAAAGCTACTGTAACAATGTTCCGCGCTGTCCGCCCACGGCTCCGTATCATTGTTCCGACTACACATGCCAAGCATCGCTCTCGATGTGCACTAGCGATGTGCGATGTCCGCCCAGTACGCTTTGGATTATAGGTTTTCAATGCAGCACATATCAAGATTCGAAACCACTGCGTGGTCGACATCGATGACTATTTAGAGAAGAACGCGGACGCTCCGTTCGTGCTGTCTACCAAGTACATGGTGTGTCCGGACTATCTGCATCGCGCATCGAACATGGACTATTGTCCCTCGTTCCTGACCTGCAGTCCTGGCTATGTGTTATGTGACGACAACACATGTCGAAAGAACTACACGCTCTGTCCCGTAACGCGAGTCTGTCCGAAATACACGTGTCCCTTTGGGAACTGTGTGGACGATTACACGCTCTGTTTCTCCAATACGATCTGCAAGAAGGGCTATCGGCTCTGCTCGGATCGCCTGTGCCATCCGCGCAGTCGCGACTGTCCCAGCTACATCGACGAGGCCCACGCCGCTGCCTTGGAGCGCGGAATGAAGCTCTGTCGAAGCGGAGATGTCGTGAGCAGAGACATCGTTTGTCCCAATAACGTACCCGCGCCTCCTCGCTCTCTCATCCTTTCTAGATCATCTGCCCCGTCGGCCAATTCAAATGTCCCGATAACACATGTCGCGATTCCCCGCTCTCCTGCCCCTTCTCTCTCCTCTGTCCCGCGGGATCCGTCGACTTCCCCTCCCTCCTTCACGTCTAGTTCGCCTGTCCCAGCGGCGGATGTGTCTCCCATCTCTCTCTCTGCCCCACGCTGCCCGTCTGTCCCTCCTTCGCCCCCGTGCTCTGTCCGGGCAAGTTCTGCATGCCGACCCTCGCGGATTGCCCCGAGCTTCCGCCCTGTCCGCCCCACGCTCCCTACCGCTGTCCCTCGGGCGAGTGCGTCGAATACGCCGCCACGTGCGCTCCGGGCATTCGCTGTCCCGCCAACAAACCGTATCTCTGCTCCAACGGGACCTGCGTGAAGGCGGCGGACCTCTGCCCCATCATCGAAACCTGCCCTGCCGGCTATTTGATGTGCTATGATGGCTCCTGTGTGGACCACAACTCGGTCTGTCTGCCGCCGCCCGTGTGTCCCTCGCTCTCCGTTCGCTGTCTGGACGGCAGCTGTCGCTCCGCAGTGGACATCGAAGAAGCCGTGCTCGATTACTTCGGTGTTGCTCCCGCCTATGAGACGTGCGTCAGTCGCAAACTGGAAGAAACCAGCGTAGAAACCGGAAGCAAGAGGTCAATGATAGGACACCAATCCGTGTCTCTGCGCGGAGAAAGGCTATCTGTACTGCGGAGATCGCTGTGCGCTGGACTGCCCTCTCTGGCTGCCGCTCTACCGAGAATGCACGGAGAAATACTACGACGTGCTTCGCAGCATCTGCGCCGAGGAAGCGGACTTTTACCCCTGTCCCTCCCAGCTGATCGAAACCGCCAGTCTGGCTCCGTCCTATCGCATGTGTCCCACGGACAATCCGATTCTCTGTCCCGACGGATCCTGCGTGAGCTCTTCAGGCGATTGCCGAGACGTGGAGAGCTGCTTCTATTACCAGGTTCAATGTCCGGATGGCACGTGCTCCAATTCCATGGAGAACTGCGCGACACGCGTCACATGTCCCAAATCCAGACCGTTCTTGTGTCCCGATTCCACCTGTCATGCGAACGAAGCCGACTGCGTGACCTTTGAGAGCTGTCCCAGCGAGACGCCCTTCCGCTGTCCGGATACAAGCTGCGCGACGTCGCGCGCGAATTGTCCGCTGGGCATTCACTGCAACGAGACGGCTCCGATTCTCTGCGACGATTTCCATTGCTACGAATCGGTGGATGCCTGCGAGAACGTGAACACGAACGAATGTCCGGTGGGTCGCGTGCGTTGCTGGGACAACACGTGCCGCATCAGTCAGGACTTGTGTCCCCCGCATAGCTGTCCGCTGCACGTGCCCTACATGTGCGATAACGGCCAGTGCGTGACCGATCCGTCGATCTGCTCGGAGACTTGCGAGTCGGTAATGCTCTGCAAGCTGCCTCCGAAGCTCGGTTCGGCCACGATCGAGTACGAGACGCGCTGCTGCGACACGGCCGACTACAACGCGTGCTGCGGCTATCCTCAGTTCGAAGAGGACTGTCTCGATGGCGAGGTTCGCTGCGGCGATGGCGTGTGTCGCAAAGCGGAGGACTGCGTGAACGGCGTGAACTGCCCCCCGGAATATCCCTACCGCTGCGCGGGCAACACGTGCGTGAGCGATCCGCTGCAGTGCCAGAACAGTCCATTGTGCCAGGACGGATGGATTCGGTGTCCCAGCGGCCGCTGCGCGCCCAGCTACGGCGATTGCATGGTGTCTCTGGCGCGGTCGGACGGGCAATGCCCTTCGGACAAGCCCGTGCAGTGCTCCGACGGGCAATGCCGACGCACGCTGGAGGAATGCGGCTTGCTCGGTCCCTGTCCCAGCGCGTTCCCGTTCCGATGCCCCGATAATAACTGCGTCACGTCCGAAGAAGAGTGCGGCTTCCGCAACACGTGCCCTTCCGAAACGCAGAAGCGATGCGATAAAGGGCGAAACGTAGGCATGTGCTTCGAAGACGAAACGGACTGCGATGACCAGAACGTGTGTCCCACCGACAAGCCCATTCTGTGCCTTTTGACAATTGCGGCCCATTGACACGTAGATGTCCCAATGGCGACTGCGTGACGCACATCAGTCTCTGTCTCCTCCGCAAGATGCAATGCTCCGAAGGTAGTTTCTCCGTTTCCCTGCTCCCCAGCCTTCCCCATTCGCTGCTGGAACAACGAGTGCGCGGCGTCGATCAGCGACTGCCCCACGTTGGACAGCTGTCCCGACTCCCGGCCCTTCCGCTGCATCTCCGGCGATTGCGTCGAGGTGCTCCTCGCTGAGCTCTCTCACCGTGTAGTCGCTCGCGCAGTGCGACCCGGAGATCTGTCCCGCCTCCAAGCCCTATCTCTGTCCCAACGGCGTGTGCGCCGCCGACGCGAACTCCTGCATGACCTCGTTTGGCTGCGAGTACCGCGCCCACATTCGCTGTGACAACGGATTGTGCGCCGGTCGGAACGTCCGCACCGGCCGCTCTCTCTGCCTGACCTCGCTGACGTGTCCATCGCACCGGCCGTACCTCTGTCCGGACTATTCCTGCGCGGCGCACCCGTTCTATTGCCCTTCGATTCAGTTCTGCCCCGAAGGGACCTACACGTGCTCGGATTATTCCTGCTCTACAGAGCCCTGCGTCGAAGAGGAGTCCATGTGTCCCGTCTCTCGCCCCGTCAAATGCGACGACGGCCAGTGCGTCTCCACGATTCTGGACTGTCGGAACATGGAAGGCTGCATGGCTCCCTACGAATGTTTCATTGCTCCTCTCTCCTCCCCTTCAGACCAATGCTTCGACGGCTCCTGCGTCCTCTCCTACCAGTCCTGCCCCCACGCCGACTGCGACGCCCTCGCCGCCGAGCTCGGGCTCTCCATTCCCCTCTCTACCTGCTGGAACGGCGAGTGTCTCGTCGAGGGAACCTGCCCTCCCCTGCCCTCCTGTCCGCTCGACTATCCCGTTCGCTGCCCCGACGGCACCTGCCAGAAGTCCGCGCAGCTCTGCGCTCCGCAGGACGCAGCGGGCGCGCAGGCGGCCACGTACAGCGACTGCCCCGCGGGGACGACGCGCTGCCGGACCGGGGAATGCCTGGAAGTGTGCTACGGAGTGAACGGGTGCGGCGTGAGCGAAGGAATGTGTCCGAATGGGGTCTGCGTCCCGCTGATCACCTCCGATTTCACCGGGGAAACCGAGTTCAGCGAGCGCTGCCCGACCACGTGCCGCGCTGGAGGTGGGCGAAAACCGCGGGAGTGAAGTGTAGAGTGCCTGAACGTGATCCCGTGCACGCTGTCGTCGCCGATCTCGCTGACGATTTCGCCGTTTTTCGATCATGAATTGCCGATTGTGCTCAACAACAAGCAGGTCAATCTCGCGATCCTCGTTCCCTCCGGCCTTCTCCCACGTATTCCTCGTTTCCACGTTTCATTCTAGCCTCGTTGGAGAACGTGCTCGATCTTTTCCCCGTTTCCACTTCGTTTTTGAGCGAAACCGCGGGGGACAGCGGCTACTCGGCGACGGAGCTTTTCATTTCGGGCGTGTTCGAGATCACAACGCATCACACCTACCCCAGAACCGCGATTTCGGTGATGGAGACGGTGGATCACGTGTTCAGCGTTCCGATCACGCTCGAAATCCGCAACATTCGCTCGGAGAAGTTCGATTTGGAGGAGTGGTGTCTGGGGAAATACACGGAGAATGGCTGGGTTTGCGACGGCGATTTGACCGAAGTGGATCGCGCCGTGTATCGAACCCTGCTGAAGAGCACGGGGATCTTCGCGATTTATTACCGAATTCCGGAATCGGGCGTGATCGTGATCACGGAAGAATCGAAGATGAAGATCACCGCGATTTCCATTTTGACGGTGTCGTACATCGTCGTGTTCGTTCCGCTGTTCTACGTGTTCTGGCGATTGCTTCGCTTTAGAAAGAAGCTGGAAAAGGCGAAGACGCTGCTGGAGCTGAATGTGGGGGATGCGAGAGGCGTGAGACGTAGAATCGCGTGAATTACAGCTGGAATAAGCGATCGTACAACCCGATGATGGTGAAGAACTTTGTGTATTATATGGATGGCGACGAGAAGAAGGGGATCATTCAGCAGCGACACATCGAGCAGCAAGAAGAACGCATTGAGCAGTTGGAAGAGGAGATCGACGAAGCGCGCGTTGGTTTGGTTGGGGGTTTGTGACGCGTAGAGTCGATTGGAGCTTCTCAAGAATCAATCCTAGTCGTCCATCAATTCCTTTGTTTGTTTGTTTGTTTGAGCACAAACACATACACACACACATGCATGCATGCAATTGATTAATCGAATCCTCCGAAGTCCACATCACAGCCACCTCCATCAAACCCACCAAAATCCACATCTGGTCCTTCGATTTGGCCTTCGCCGTCTCCTCCATAATAATAGCTTCCTCCACTGTAGCCTCCGCCAGCCATGTGTCCTGCGAGCAGTCCCACGCCCACGCCCGTCGCCAAGCCGTCCGAAGTGGCATACACACCTCCGTGATGAGTGTTATCCATGTTCGAATTGCAGATCGAATTCACCAGGAACGCCGCGCAGAGGATTCGGATTCGCTCGGCGAGCATCGAATTGGGAGGGAACACCACGACCAAGCAATCCGTATTCATGAACTACATTCGACTTTCTCTTTTCTTTTCCTACGCCGAGCTGCGCGTACAGCTTCGCAATCGATCCCGTCGTCCCCGTAACGCAGTCCTGCACCTCGAACTCCACGCTACGTCGCCATTTCCGAGCGAACGCCTACCGATTGCATCCTTGGCACGCATTGAACGAGAACAGGCCGCATTGGCACTTCGAACCGCTCACCGTCGCGCACTCCACGTCGTGCTCGTCGTAGGCATGGAAGTTGTAGCTCATACAGGCTTCATCGCTGCGGACGGAACCCAGAGAACCGGACGATGGGGAATCGATGGTCATGTGCTTCTCCATGGCGAACACTGTGTAAAGAGAGGGGAAAGGAAGCTACGGCCACACTTCGTAGAGGTTTCGAGGTGGTAAAGCTCGGATCCGTCCAGGAACTTGATGTCGGTGGTGAAGTTGTGGGTCTGCGTGCAGGAGCAGCAATCGGTGGATTCCGTGGCCTACGATCGATTGCACAAACAGAGACAACGTAGAGGAAGGGAGACTGGTTCGGAGTAACCTCTCCGTTCTCGTTTGTCAGATAAACGTTGAACTTCTTCTCGTTGAAGTTACTCGTGAGTGCCGCGACCGAGATCAAATCCTCCGAAATCACTACAGCAGGGACTACGCGTCACACGAGCGATGCGAAAAAACAGGTCATAAGCAAATCAATCGAAGGACTTGCGGGCTGCATAGGAGGAACCACGTTCGCTGTAGGAATTCCCGCTACAGGAACTTGGCCCGCAGGATACTGCATTGGTTGCCCCAGAATCTGTTGCACCGGAATTCCATCCACCGGCTGCGCTAAATTCTGCTGCACAGGTACTCCCTGGATCGGCTGAGCTGTCTGGGCCGGAATGCCGGCCATCGGAACCGAGTTGGGAACGGGCACCGCTTGCGTCGGTATGGCGTAATTGTATTGATTCTCCACCACTGGCTGGGTGCCGGGATATGCGCTAGGGTTACCAGAAGTATAAATCGGATTCATTGATCAAAAATATGAATGCTAAAATAGTGTTTCTTAGCCAAGTAAAAGTGCTAGGGTGAAAAGTGTCACTTGGGAAAAGCGAATGCGTCTCCCACAATCCAGTATTTCTACATGCCAAATACATTCTTCTCATGATGACCGTTTCATTCTTCATTTGTGTAGTATTTCCACGGATTTCCGGAATTCCAGAAAATGGGTGTTTATCAATTCTGTCTGTTCTCAAAAAGACTGTGTTCAATGAGATTTCTGTTTGTCCTAATTTTGTTGGTCATAGGAATATGCTACCAAGATGCACGTAATAATGTTGCCAGATATTTAAAGTACAGTGTGTGGAGAGTATGAAATGGACAAAGACAAGTGTTTTTACTTTACTTGTGATGATGAAATGGGTAAAGGCTCCTGTTTGCCACTTCCCTCTGGATATTTACCAGCTTATTTCACAAGTACTCGTACGGAGTCTAATTCATGACTAGCTTTCAGAGCGTCTATCCTCTTTGAAGAAAACTATAAATATCGTTTACGTTTACACGTCTTCGCGTATAACAATTGCGAGATGCCTATTTGGGATATTGATGTTTTGTGTGAAATTCGGAGTGCTTTTGATGTATAGTTCCTATAAGCCGCTACTCCGTGACTCCGTGAAATACGAGAATGGAACCTATATTGACGCGGTGTTCAACAAGGTGGACATGACTCCGCTCATTGCTGACTTGGAGTACAACCAAGATTTGGATTGCAAGTTGCCTCTCGAGAAGAATGTCACGTTTGAAGTCACGGGATTGAATCCAGAAGATCAAATGTGCATGTTCGAGATGCAGGGAGCGCCTGTGGACATATTCACTTTCATCCGCGAGTTGGTGTCCTACTCGATTACTCTGGACGTTGTTTGGAAGACGGAAGATACCATTATGGTTACAAACGAAGAGGTCGGCTTGTTAGGTAATTTTCTTCCTGCGACCTATTTGAACATGACGCGAATTGGAAGCAGCGACTGTATACCATTGAAATATTGAGTTTTGTCATTGTGTCATTTTTCTATGTTTGTTTCCAAGACTGCCATTTTCAAACCGATTTTGTTCGATGGTTGGACCGGTCAGCACGCTTCACAGGCTTGCGAAACTGAATTATTTCCGTCATCCTCCCGATTTTGTCGTCGTTGGAGGTAATTCTCCAGTTGATCCATCACGCTTCAGGAGATGGCTTCGTGGGGAGCTATATATGCCGTGTTGCTGCGAAGTGTGGGTTTATTCCCGTCAGTATTTCTCCCAAATGCTGTCCTCCGGTATACGGAGAAATCAATGAGCACGAAAACTCCTGGATCACAAACGTATTACGAAACCACCATTGTCTCACGGAAAGGTTCACTGGCGAGAAGGCAATGCCGTCAAACCATCAACGTGGGACCCCCATGTTGTGGAGGCCGGTTGTACAGTATGAAAGTTGTCGTAGGGTGACGTGAAGGCGATGATCTACACAACCAAGCCTTCTTATCACAGTTCTAAATTGTTGTGGGAGTGCAACTATGAAGGAGCACTCCAAAGTATAGAAATGGCGCGAGTTTAGACCCTGTGCTCGATTCATCATAGAAAATGCATGCTAATCGTTTTGTATATATATCAACGAATTTTCTACCCCCAGTTGTAACCTCGGTGCGTGGCGCCCTTCGCTCCTAACGTCTAGGTGGAGCGACAGACGAAGAAACTGGCCGAAGAAGCTTTGTTCGAGTACAGTCGTGTTTGTTTTTGCTTCCCGACTTCTCTCGCAGATGTCTCTCCAGACGGACGCTCCGATCCAGCTGAGCATTCTGAAGCCTGGCTGGGTGTATGGCAACGATCGTTTTTTCAGCTCGCTCATCGGGCTCTCGCTGCACCGTCTGCTCGATCCGCACGACTCCGCGCATCCCCCGCGCAATCTGAGCTCGATCGGCGTGTCGTCGCTGGCCATCGCGGCGCTGTGCCAAGCGCTGGACCCTTCGCTCCCGTCGCTTTCATCGCAGCTTCTCCCCTGTAGAGACTTCGTGAAGCTTCCGAACGACGCGCTGATGCAGTACGCAGGGTCGCAGTCGGCGCGATGGGAGCAGTGGCTGCGCCAGCAGGCGGAGACGATGGTGCGGTGCGCGGAGCGAGTGAGACATAGCTGAATCGGAAGCAGGCGTCGCGACCCCCGTACGATTTCGAGGCGTTCTAGCCGTGTGTGTTGTGTTTGCTCCATCAAACATGTGGTCTTCTACTTAACTAGCAGCGGGCTTCTCCGTCGAGGCGGGCGGCGAGCTGCTTCGCTCGCGGCGCCGGCTCCGCTCCCGTCGATTCCCGCTTCGGCTTCGGCTTCGGCTTCGGCTTCGATCTCTGTCTCGATCTCGCTCTCTGTCGCGGTCACGGCTTCGATCATCGCGATGGTGTCGTTCTCGGCGGCTTCGGCTTCGATCGCGTTCACGGCTTCGATCGCGGTCGCGCTCTCGGCGGCTTCGACTCCGGCTTCGACTGCGATCGCGGCGACTTCGCTCTCGGCGACTTCGACTGCGGCTGCGGGTGTAGCTTCGACTGCGACTGTAGCTTCGGCTTCGGCTTCGGCTTCGGCTTCGGCTGCGACTTCGACTGCTTCGGTCCTCGTCGGAGAGAATCACGCGCGCCGGCGGGGGATTGCGACGGCCATCCCCGCGGGGACCCTTGTCATGGAGGCGCTCGAAGCGCGTGTAGCCCCAGCTAGCGATGAGAGGAGCGGGAAGAACTATACCGGCCTTTGGGGAAGCAGCGGTAGAAGACGGGCTGGGAAGGCGTCATTAAGTGCATGAAGTTGCAATAGCCTCCGCGCGTGCACTGGCCTTCTTCGTGCTGTCTGCAACTAGATGTGAGGAGAAAACGCAGAAAAGAACCGCGCCTCACGGAAATCGGTGACTGGAGAGTATTCGGGAGCGAGCGGACGACCCGCGTAGTATCGATGCGTCAAGCCTTTCAGTGCTTTCTCTGCATCCTCCTCGTCCTCAAACTTGACATACACATTTCCTATCATGTGGTCGTTCAGATTATCGCACACATGGAGCTCTTCAATCGGGCCATAGGATTGCGAAAGCTCCTGGTACACCTCTTCATAGAACTCGTCAAATTGTTGTTGCTAGTGAGAAGAAACCACAAACTAGGTACAATGAGCTGCTGCGCTTGGGAGGGATCTCCAGTAACTCCCGAAGCTTTAGGGTTGTGGTACATGTGAGGAATGAGAATAGTCTGGCTAAATGTAGGTCTGTTGTGCTTTCGAGTGCACCGATCTCCATGCCTGCATGCGCCAATCTTAAAATAGAACGGACAGTTCACTCTAAACTTTCAAACTCAAATAGCGCAACCCACCGATCTTCTTCTGTTCCATACACCCGGACAAGGTGATCTGCCATACCTGGATGTAGATGTACAAGAATGTGAGCAATACAGCAAAATGGTCCGAAGCATGGTCGCTAGAAATCGGAGTTAACCGTGGTTCTTACTTGTCTCGCATTTTCTCTTTCATCATAGCTCCTTTTTCTCGGCTATACCCACAGCGGAGATATTTTTATCGACAGAATTGAAATACGAACCTACGTGCTATGAGTAGCATCCAACAGAAAAGTGAGCCAAAAGAAACACGGAGGCGGGGCAATGCGCAGTAGTGAACCCCACTGATGGAGTGATCGAATAGAACGGGAGCTTCTGAACCATCTAAAAAGCGAAACATTGGGGAGAGTGTGAAAATGGCGAACGGAAAGCCTATCTCGTCCCGTCTGCTCTCCGTTTTGAAAAAGCAGATTGCTGACACAGAGTTGAAAAAGTGCATTTGCAAGGCGCATTTGACGCGTAGACAGCAAGAGAACGACGATCAGCTCAAATTGCGGAAAAAGCTGAATGAAACTGTTCGTCCCACGTACGCTGCAAGCGTGCTTACATAGCGAATAGAATTCGTAAGACGTGCGATCAGACCAAGGAGACGGAGGATGAGCGAGCCAAGGAAGAATCGGAGCAGCGAAATGCGGATACCTACGCAGCTCTCAAGACTGCACTCCAGAATCGTTTTTACGACATTTTGCTCAATTGGGATTTGTTTGTGCCAGCGTGAGGATTCTATGTGTGTTTCCAGGTCTAGTCAGCCGCTGCCAATCCTCCCGTCTTCGTTTCAAAATGTGGAGCAGTACATTTCCATGTTCTCTGCGTTTGTGCTTCAAGAAGTGCACGCACAGACTCTACAAAGCATCAACACGTTGCCTTCCCCCTTCCTATCCACTCTAGTCGTAATCGTCTTCGCTGCACAGCGGTTCAGCTTCGCTACGACCCCGACGAGAACGAGTGTTTTCTCTACTTCGATTCGCAGCAGTCGCTTCCTACGCTCATCAGCACCTACTCCGTCATCGTTCCCTATCTCGCTCGCCCTGCCATCGATCCCGACACTCCCGAGTTCAGCGTGGAGAACGGATCCCCGCGGTTCCACCTTCCCTTTTTCTACGGCGTGGTGAACACGCAGACCTCCGCCAACCACGCTCCGCTGCGCGCCCGCGTGGACGTGTACCAGCTCGCAGAGGCGTTTCCGGACCTTCTGGACCGTCTGGACGGCACCGACCCCGTGTATCTGAGAGAATCGGGGCTCACATGCAGCGTCTGCTCCCTGTATCCGCTGCTGCAGCTCAGCACCGCGGCGCGCGAGTGGGTCGCGCTGCACTTGCTGCACTACTGCGTCTACGCGCCTTCGGACACGCGATCCACGCGGTGGGCCGCGCCGCGCACCGCGCACGACGCGCTCACCACGCAGAGCGGCGCAGGTAGACGGCGAGGAGACGCTCAGAACGCAGGCAACGGAGGCGGTGGAGGCAGCGGAAAGACAGGTGGGGCAGCGGAGAGGCGTTAAGCGTAGGTGGGAGGCGATGGGAGTGGGTCAGACATAGGTGCCCATTCGATGTCCCAATTATATATAGGTCCCTATCCAATGTCCCAATAATATATAGGTGCCCATTCGATGTCCCAATTATATATAGGTCCCTATCCAATGTCCCAATAATATATAGGTCCCTATCCAATGTCCCAATAATATATAGGTGCCCATTCGATGTCCCAATTATATATAGGTCCCTATCCAATGTCCCAATAATATATAGGTGCCCATTCAATATCCCAATAATCTATTTTTAGGTGCCCCTTCCCTCTCCCCCTCACTCCCAGGTTCCCCGTTTCCCCCTTCGGCCCCTCTGTCCAGCGGTCCCAGTCGGCGTTCCTTCCTCGCCCAGCTGCGCGCGCTGCGTCTCCCGAACCCGTCGCTCCCCCTTCAGCACAGCGACGTGAACCACGCGTTCGGCGCCGCGGTCTACCCGCCCGCCTTCGCGTCGTTCCGCCTGCCGCTGAACCCGCTGCTCTGCGAGGTGGTGGGGTCGCGTCCGGGGCTGTACCGCAGCGTCTACGCGGGCGAGGACGCGGCGCTGCTGCGCGACGCGCTGCACAACCCCGGCTCCGCGCTCTGCGTCCCCGCAGCCCCGCAGTCCCCCCTCGCCGGACAGTTCGCGTGGGACGGCTGCACGCCCGTCTTCGTGGACTACCTCCGCGGGAGCTTCAACCGGTCGCAGCTGTTCGCGGTGGAGGCCTCGCTGTACCGCACCGTGGCGCAGCAGCCCTCCCCGCGGCCAGCCTCCCACTTCACGCTCATCCAGGGACCGCCCGGCACGGGGAAGACGCGCACGCTCCGCATGCTGCTCAACGTGCTGCTCAACCAGCAGTTCGACGCGTATTATGAGCAGCTCCGCGGATTTGTGAATCAGATCATCGCCGCGAATCGGTTGGCTTTTCTGGGCTCTGGGGAGTAGAAACGCCTTTTTTAGCTCGCTGGAAGAGGTGAATCGCGCGCGCATCCAGATGAAGGAGAAGCTGGTCAAGCCGCGCATTCTGGTGTGCACGCCGTCCAATGCAGCGGTGAACGCGGTCGTAGACGGCATCATGCAGCAGGGGTTCATCGACAACAGCGGAAATCGGTATAACCCGTCGATTCTGCGGCTGGGCTCGGGAACTCCGGAGGAATATTGGTCGGTTTCGCTGGAATATATGGTGGGAGTAGGAATGGAGGGAAGGTTTGTCGTAGAACTTCAAAAACGCGGAAGCGAAGGAGCAAAAGCGGAAAATGCTGCAAACAGACCTGAAGCGTGTCAACACGCTCATCGACCAGGTGTTTGTATCGGTAGCGATCGGAACTGCGAGATAAAGAGTAGTTGAAGCGATTGGCGAGTAAGATAACAACGGAAAATGGGTTGCAGCAGAATCCCGAGTCGATGTACACGTATTTGCTTTAGTTTAGGTATTTATCGCTAATTTCGCGGATTGTGATGCTTTTTGAAGAGAAAGACAGACTGCTGCAATTCAACTACGTCTACAACTACTCCCAGATGAACACCAGCGACCTCGAAGGATATCTCGTCAATAACTACGATATCATCCTCACTACGCTCTCCAGCAGCGGCTTATCCGTGTTTGATTCCGATTGCATAAATCGGCAGTATTTCTGGAATTCCGATAGGACCTAGATATTCGGCATTGGTGGTGGACGAAGCGTGCCAGGCGACGGAGGTCTCCACGCTGATCCCGTTGCTCATCAATCCGCAGAAGTGTGTGTTGATCGGAGATCCCAAGCAGCTTCCTGCTACGGTAATCAGCGCAAATAATCAGAACAATTACAATCTGAGTCTTTTTGAACGTCTTTCAAACAATAACCATTACTCATACCTCCTTAACACACAATATCGGTAGAATCCTTTCGAATCTGCTCAGTAGATGCCACCCCAATATTATTGCTTTTCCAAACCAGTGTTTTTACGATGGCAAGCTAATGAACGGTGAGAACGTGTCTGGGAGGGGGTATAGCCACCAATTCTACGAGTCTGACTATTTTTACGTAGCTTTTAATCCTTTTCTCGACGCTAGCCTGTCGTGTTTTATAATCTGTGCGGTTCGAACGTATCCGAGAAGAAGGATGCTTTTTCCAAATCCTACAGCAACGAATCCGAAGTCCGCTTCGTTCTAAACCTCTACAACACCTTTTTGAATCTCTACCCTTCCTACTCCTCGATGTCGGTCGTGATTTTGACTCCCTACAAGGAGCAAAAGTCCCTGGTACTTCCTCTCCCTTTCCTCTCACCCTCAGTTCGAATCACGCATTGCGCAGCATCCCAACGAGCTGGTCCGCCGTCTGCACGTGTTCACCGTGGACGCGTTCCAGGGCAAGGAGGTGGACCTGGTCTTCTACTCGACGGTGCGTACGGGCAGCGCGTACGGCGTGGGCTTCGTCTCGGACATCCGTCGAATGAACGTGAGCTTCACGCGGCCGCGCTTCGGCCTGTTCGTGGTCGGCAACGAAGCCAAGCTCCGCACCAGCACTTACTGGAACCAGTTCATCGATTTCACTTAGTGGGTTCCACGGTTTCCCCTTTTTGCATAGCCAGTTCAACCGCGTGCTTCCGATCCTGGACGTGGACGCGGACTTCGAGCCGCTCATCCGCGAGAACATCCGGCTGCACCGGCAGGACAGTCTCTACGCGAAGTTCCAGCAGTCGCACAAGCGGCTGGCGCTGTCGCTGCACGCCTCCGTGGAGGACGCGCTGGCGCAGCAGCAAGGCCAGTACTCTCCGGAGGTGCGAGTGCCCTCTCTGCATTGCCCTGTTTCCAACAAACACGTTTACAATCATCAATCAATCATCCATCATCCATTCATCCATTCATTCATTCATTCAGTAAAAAGAAACAAGCTAGAATCGACGGCCTCCGAACGAACCGCCACGGCCACCGCGATTGCCACCGCCGAACGAACCACCGCGACCGCCTCCACGGCCTCCGAACGAGCCACCACGGCCGCCACGGCCACCGAAGGAACCGCCGCGACCGCCACGGGCGCCGCCGCGACCGCCTCCGCGCGATCCACTGGAACCACCAGCCGGCTTCGGGGTTCTGCAGATTAGGGTGGAGACAATTCGAAATACTCTGTAAATCGGGAGAGAGGAAGCAGCTTCATCGGGTTGATGTAGACTTTATCGCCTGCCTTGAAGGAAGACGCCTTCACGCCTAAATGTGAGGGAGAAACCGGAGGTTCCACCTTCGCTGCACTTCATCGAGAAATGGACGTCGGAAATTGCTCCGAGAATCTCGTCCACCTTTCCCACCTGCGTCTTATTCTCCAGATACACAGGAGCGTTGAAATATGGAATCTATCCATCAGAAAACGGTTTCCAGTAACTACGTCCTTATTCGTTGATTTGCAGAGAACATCGCCCTCACTTTCGTGAAGCACGTATCCCAGCTCTAAATATTAAAATGAATGTGCAAAATCCCACCCACAACACGTTCTGGAGGACCTTCTTCAAAATCTCGGTTTTTTCCTCCAAAATTCTTACGGCCACCACGGCCACCGCCGCCTCCACGTCCACCACGATAACTCATAGTTCAGAAGCAAGATAAAAAATAGACCTCCAATCCACCTCCCACTTTCCGCCAAATTTCCGACACAACCGCGGTTTCAAACAAACAATTCAAACGCATTCCTCCGCGTTTCCAGTCCACTTCCCAGTATACCCCGACACTCCAGCGTCCTCACGTGTGGATCTGGGTCGCTCTTCGATTCACAGCATCCACATATTGCTCGAGAGGCGGAACGCTCACCTTCTGCTTTTTCTGGATGCAGCTCGACACCCAGGAGCGTTCGGCGATCTCGCAGCTGTCGCGGATGTCTCGTCCGCTCATTCCCTCGGAGAGCTCGGCCAGCTGCTGTCGTTCCTCCTCGCTAAGCTGCTTCGCATAGCACGCAAAAATCTGCTTTCGCGCCTCCACATCCGGGAGAGGGAAATGGAGCTGCACGTCGAATCGGCTCAGCAATGCCTGGAAATAAGGGAAATGCCGAGAGAAGTACCGAATCGAGGTCGTGCTTGCGATTGGTGGCACAGATCAGAATGTTGTGTTTCGGCGCGGTTTCTCTCTTCCCGCTCTCGCCATTGCTTCCATTCTTCCCCGCCTCCTCATTATTGGCGTTGAACCCCTCGAGGAAGCGCAGCAGCACCGACAGCAATCTGCGCGTGACCTCATTCATCTGATCATTATCGCGACTTGTGGCCAGACTGTCGACCTACGCTGGATCCATCACTCGCTCTCCCCACCTCATCAATAAAGATAATCGCGTCATCGATCTCTCCGCACAGCTTCAGAATCGAGCTGAGTCGCTTCTCGCTTTCTCCGTAATATTTATCCACGATGCTTTCCAGCGGAACGTGTCTTCCTTTCACTCTTTTTTCTCTTTACAATCCTACACTAAAATCGACCCGCTCTCCCGCGCGATCAGGCGCGCGATCGACGTTTTCCCCGTGCCGGGAGGGCCTTCAAAAAGCAGCGCGCGCGGAATGGGGGAGGAGTAATTGCGCCGCGTTTTCCGCGCGATTTCTCGGTATTTCTCGGGGTAGCGAATCGAGAGCAGCACCGAGTCGTGGATTTCCTGCACAGTAGAAACGTGGAAACTCGCCTACTTTCTTTAGATCGTCGTACCCAGCGATTTCGTCCCATGCAGAATCGTCGGAAGCGTGCGATTTGGGAACGTACACTTCCACGCCCAGACCTTCCAGGCTTCGGATCGTTTTCTAGAGCTGATGAAAGGTGGAAACGTGGAACGGAGAGCTGAGAATTCTCATTGGTCGTGGAGGTAGCTGAGCTAGATGTGAATACCCGCGGGAATAGGAACGAGAGTGTCTGCAATGTTTGCTCGTAAAGGGTGGAAATGATTTGTGTGTCGTGCGTGGTGAAATCGTCGTCTGCAAAGCTTTGATTCAGAGCAAAACAAAAAGAAGCAAACAAGGAGATGCGGCCTTCACGACCGTTGTATAGCACCTCGACGGAGCGATGTCCATCGCCGTAACTATATGTAAAACAACAGGGAGATAGAGTGGAAAACATTAAAGTAACAACTAAAGTACCGCGCTCTTGCTTGATTTCCTGAAGTGAGACGGGACCCTCTTCCTAAAGGAATACAACACTCCGAGTTCGAACATTCAGTAAACTTGAAAGTGTCGAAAGTAGATCGAAGAAATTCAAATAGGCTGAAAAGCTGAAGGAAATCATCAACACATTTTCCTCTTTGCCACTTGCAACCTATGAATATTCAGAATACCTGGAGACTACGGGAGACGCTTTGATGTCAGGGTACTTCTCTCGGATAGCTTCCAAATCCTTCATCAACCTCGTTACATTCTTTTGATTCGATGAACCGCTCCCAAACCCCATGAAGCCAGCGTAGCTCAATCCGCCCATCGATAATCCCAGTCCACTTGTAAATGACAGAAGACGAGCATATTTCGATCGAAGAATCGTCTCTACTCGTTCGAAACGGGACGCAGACCCTGTCGAAAATGACCGCACAAACAAGGGTTCCATTCTTCGACCTCCCCTTCCAATAACGCGACAGACGCTTTCGGCTCTTGATACAGTTCGTATTCCCTGTATGAAAGCACCCGATAGTCTCTTCATCTTCAAACAAAGAAAACAATTATGCTTTCTTAGGAATCGAACAAACACGTTCCTATCACACAAAAAGAAGCTTTCTAGTTCACTTTGCTGTTCATGCACATCTTTTGCTCGCAACCTCTCCAAATACTTTGGAGATATTCTAGATTCTCGGTGTACTGGTCAATTTGCTAAATATCACTGATTCCGCCCATTACGCTACTTCCATCTGTTTCGTTAAATCAGCGAGCGCCACAGACAGCCGATCTACAGAGTTCGCTATTCTCTTGATCAGTACTTCTTGTCGTTGTTCCTGAGGATCTGCCTCTTATTCCCTTCCGGATAGAATACTCTGCATCAGTCAGCCGACTGTAAACAAAAGTCTGATCAAATAAACAAGATTATATAAAACGACAACAATTACTTCGCATACGCGTCTACGTACTCTACATTTCCATTCTTATCGATGCGAGTCTTCTTTATCTGCTTGAGCTGCTTCTTGCTCATCTTCTTCAGTTTTCCCACATTCTTTATCTTTGCATTATCTGCGCTTGAGCAAACCTACCACTTGAATTTGAGCGTTCTTGATCTCATTCTGCTGACGACGCATTTTGTTTTCTTCCTGTCTTCTAATTAGCTCCTTACCGTCACTCCAAAGCCAAAATCGTTACGCGTTTCTCTTCAATTCTGGACGTTCGCATGCTTTTTTGCAATTCCTTCGTTCTCTCTAGCTTCTTGCGTCTTTCTTGTTTCTTCTCCCAGGACGTCTTGACTTGGAACGGACTATTGTTTGCAAACTGATGGAACCTATCGAATTACACACTGCATTGACGTTTACGATATCTCCCTTTTCTGTCTCCACACTTTTCCAGCCGCTCCGATACCTACAGGAATCACCGTCTTCTTTTTGGTCTCTGAAGGTTTCTGCTCTTCCACTGTCGTATTCTGAGCCGTTTCCTGGTTTTTGGATTCCATTGTAGTGGCTATTCCCAAAAGTTAAATACTGCAAATTTTTGGCCATATTTTGGAGTTTGTCTATGAGCGAACCGGAGTATAAAGTATTGGTGAAGAGTATGCTCTCTTTTGACTTCTTGAACCATTTCAGACATACCCTTCACATGTAATAGCGAGACTCTTATCGAGTTTTTTTCTGCGTGCGGAGACGTGATTGATGCAAATGTATGATGCTATTTGTTGCTAACACTTCAAGATTTTGTATAATAGGGAATCGGGTCGTTCTCGGGGATTTGGATTTGTTTCCTTTCGATCCGAAGAGGGTCTGAAGAAGGCTCTCGATATGAACGGAACAAACATGAATGGCCGCGTCTTGCGGGTAATAAAGAAGGAGGATCGAGAAGATCGAGATGAGCGCAGAGTTCGCGATCGCAGGACACACAAGGATGTGAAAAGAGAACGTTCTCGTGATCGTGCTCCGGCTCCGGCTCCGGCTCGTAGTTATGATAACACAAACAAGCTAATTGTTTTACGTAAGTAAATATGCGGATTTGACATTAGAACTACCTTGGAAGTGCACCAAGGCAGATCTGACAAAGCTTTTTGATAAATTTGGCAAAATCGTGTACTGCAACGTAGCATTCAAATAGCAACGTAATTTGTATAGATCGTTGTGAATCGTGAAACGGGTTTGAGTCGCGGCATGGGAATCGTGAAGTACGAGGAAGAAGAGTCCTATCAGAAAGCGCTGAAGGAAATGGACTGCTTTGAATACGAGGGAAGGAAGTTGTATGTCCGACCCTACCAACCGCACCAGCAGAACGGATTTGCGGAGGAGACACAAAAGAAATCAAACGAATCGACCGAAACCGAAGCATCGAAGGAATTGGAGGCTTCGAGAAAACCGAAGGATTTAAATGATTCTAAGCCAACGAAGGAAGCCATGGAGCTCCAGCAGCTTCGTGAACTGGAGGAAAGGCGGGATCGAGGCGACTCGATCTATTCGAACGATTCGGAGGAGTCTGGCGAGGTTCCCGACGATCCGAAGGCCTTTTCTGATTTTATGGATTTGGAAGAACCCAAAGGAGTGGAGCCGAAGAATGAGGCGGAGAACAGCAATCCGAGTGAGAATCCCGTGCCGAAGAGCGAAGAGCAGCAAGCGTTGGAGTCGTTGGATTATGAATAAAAGGAAAGCGGACAGAACCGAACAGAGTGTCCAGGATTCCCAAGTTTATGCATTAAAAATGAGTCAATCACTTCAACCCAATCCATACTCATACATCATAGTAATGTTCCCTACAAGTGCAATAACCTGTTTGTTCGATTATTTCAGAGTTGCTTAAAGTGGATAGCGTAACAAGGATTGAGTCTCCACTTGTCCTCACCAATTCGCAAAAGCGACTAAGAACAACAACCTCATCATACAGAATAAAAACCTATTCTGGAAGGATCAGTCAAACTGTGCACTCGCTTCGAGGTACCCTGCCGCATAACCCATAATCAATCTTTCAAATTCGGTTTTGAACAAATACGTCATAGTAACAAATTGTGAATGCGATTTAACTCACTCCCTGAAACTAGCAACTGAATCCGAGGCTCCATGGTTGGTAAGAGACCCGATGGAACTTTCACACTTGAAACCAACTGAGATGAAGCATTCGGCTTTTTCCACCCTCTCTTCTGGTGGATGCGAATTAATCCAGACACTCTCTTCGTGTAGTCGACCAATTCCTACACATCGTCTCCCGTTCTCACTCGTACTTGTTTCTCCTTCTTTGTGGACGGGAAAATCTTTGATGGATCGAATACCGTCATGTTCACCGCCTGCATCAGCACCGCGGGTCTACCGATCACCATTTCCTTCTTTTTCCCACTTCACATCCACTGAAACTCCCACCTCTTGTCCCTCCTCTTCCTCATTCGTCTCTTCCACCAGCAGGGAGTCTAACTGCTGCGTAATCCGATCCGCCGCAGCCTTTCGGATAGCTCTAGAGTCAACTTCGCTCCCCATTGCGACCGTTTCATCAATCTGTATTTTTCGCTTCCGATATTTTCGCCTCCGCGCTGCTCGGACCGGCCCCGGAGTTCCTGCACCTCCTTTCGCAGCTGGGCCGTCTCTCGCGTGAGTTGCTTCACTTCGCCTCGTTTTCGATCCAGCGCCTGCTGCAGCCGCCCTTCTTCGTCCCCAGGCCCCGCACGCAGCTCCAGCGCTTCCTTCCGCGCTCGGAGTTGGGCGGCGAGTTGGGCGCGCGCCTGCGTGAGGTCCAGCACCTCGCGTTCCAATTGGCTGCTGCGCGCCGCGGCCTGCTCCGCCTGCGCCTCGAGCTGCTGCAGGCGCTGCGCGAGCGAGGAGCCCACGGCCTGCTCCATCTGGGCCTTGGCGGCGTCGGCGAGACGGGCCAGATGGGAGGGCGGGAGCGCGGGATGCTCGTTCAGCGGGTTGATGATCCCCGTGACGAACAAATCCGACCCCACCAGCGCGGAGAGATGCTCCTCCAGCAGCGCCACTCGCGCAGCCACGCTGCACTGCGCCGACGCCGCCTCGCTGGCCTCGCTGGCCTCGCTGGGCTCGCTGGATCCGAGCGCGTTGGCGAGGAAAACG